ATACTAGCTCAAACCCAAGGTTGAATCCCAACGCTACACAAAACAAACAACAATGTAATGAATAGTTCCAACACTAGACATTGCAAGACATCAACAAGAGAACACCTCTTAAGACACCGATGAGTTCGATGGGAACTTTACAGGATCCTATCGAAACTCTAACACACCATCCCAAGTCTCCAATGATGAGGGAGAGTAATTAATTGCACTAATGCAATTAATTATGTGGAACCTCTCACACCCCAATCTTAGCTCGTAAGAGCTGTCCAAGGCAAGACAAAAAGAATCCTAGGTTAACATACCTATCAAATCCCTAACTAACACTCTAAGGAGAAGAGACACGAGAACCTCGCCGTTGAGGCTTAAGAAAACAAACCTCCCATTTCCCCAGGGAAGGACTCGAGTCAATCTTGACTCATTGTCCCATTACGCTAGAAACAAAACCCCAATGACGTCATCACATCAAAGTCACCACAAAACCCCAAGAGAGGATACCAACACCTCAGACACTCCCCGACCATATCGTGAAGCCACGAAAGAAAGGAGATGAAATGGTGCCTCCTTGGCCTACGTCTCATTCCACCAAACAAGGACTGTGTAATACCCCTAGTTTTCAAAAGGGATAAAATGGGAATTTAAATTTGATTTTATGTACATTTTAATTAATTAATTGATTATTTGTTTTCTGTGCATTTAATTATTTATTGACTTGAAATTTTGTATGTGTTTTGAGTGATTTATTTTATATTTATTTATTTGTTTTCCTGTATTTGTTTTAAGTATAATTAATTAGTTGGTTATTTAATACAGATATAGTTATTATGAACGTGATTGTTTTGGGCACTTGTTTAATACTAGGTTTGGGTGATATTTAAGTTAGAGTTTAATTTATAGATATATAAGTGGTAGCCGACATAATGAGTCGTGGAATTAGGATTAGGGTTTGATAGATCCTATATATATAGAACAATTTATGTCTGCAAGGGTTTTGAGAAAACCCTATTCACGTTATATCTGGAGAGAAGTAACAGAGGTTCTGGAATTTGTTTTGAGAATAAATAGATGGGGGGATTTGAGAGATGAAGTAAGGGAATTGCTCATGGTGAGCCAAGAAATAACAGAGGTAAAAGGCAATGACCAGAGGAGGAAGGGAAGGTCTTGGGTTTCCCAGAATTTGCAGACGGAGGTTGAAAGGTTTCAAACCGAAACCTAAAGGCAAGTTTCAGTCTATTCATTTCCTATAAACTTGTGTTCTGTGCATTCTATATAGTCTCTAGGAATTAATTCAATTTTTAAAACTGATGTTTGATGCATGTTTGCCGGACTGTAAACTGATTAACGTATAAATACCTGAAGTTTGCTTTCCTTGTATAAACTGTTGGGTTATGTATTAAACTCTTGTAAATTAATTCATAAAGGAATGTGAGGAGTTTCTGGGATGGTTTGGGATGTAAATTAAAATTTAAAATGGAATATTGATGCATGTTATCTGACCCTAAATTGTTCGTTTGTTTTGTTAACTGAAACTGTGGTTCTTGTGTAAACTGTTTTGTTGTGCCGTAAGTTTTGGGTCAATTAAATCACAAAAGTTTATGAAGGGTTTCTAGGAATTTAGGAACATAAATAGAACTCTAAGAATGCTACAAGGTTTGGGATTGAACACTGGACTTCGCCGGAAGCACAGACGGCAACCGGACGAAGCAGAGACGAAGCAATGGAGCAGAGACGGCTCTCAGGGGAAGAGAATCGGCTCCCTAAGTGAGGGAGCCGGCTCCCAAGAAGGTAGAGCCGGCTCTCCATGAGGGAGAGCCGGCTCTGGAAGATGAAAAGCCGGCTCCCATGGGGGGGAGCCGGCTCTTTTGAACAGAAACCCCTTCGGGGGTATTTCTGGTAATTTTTCGATACTTCAGGGGCAAAAGGGTAATTTTGGAGTTTCATGGGGGTTCTTAAATGGTGTACAGAGCATGTTTAAGACCTAAGATGTATCGATTCAGGTAATGGGAATGGACAACATAAATTTTAAAATAAGAATGTATCCAAATGAGCCTTACTCATATCAAGCGTCAGAATAAGGTCTCGAAACACTCAAACCAACAAAATAGACAAGAAGGTTCCCGACATGGGGTCCTTACAGAATGAATTTTTCCTACCCAAGGAAGAAACTCCGCAAAACAAGAATGTATCCAAAGGGATACGGCGGACTCCAAGAGATAATGCCCTGGCATTAATCTCTATCAACCAAGCTGGAACTACATACAATGTCAAAACAAGACATAAAAAAATAAACAGTTACCATACAACATAGCAACGGACTACATACTTACACAAGTAGTAAATAATCACACAAGGCATGTCAGCGTATGCAGAGAAGGACATAAAGCATGAAAATATGCTACATACAATCATGTTAAAATGAACAAACACATATAGCATGCTAAAGCAGACAAGCATAACACATGCTAAGTCGACAAGTGTAAATAACATATTAAGACAGACAAGCATATACAATGTACCGGAGCCGACAAACATATATAATATGCTAAGGCAGACAAGTACATACAACATGCTAAAGCAAACAGGTATATATAATGTACTCAGGCAGACAAGCACATACAATATGCTAAGGCAGTTAAAGTAAACTTCTAAGCACTTAAACACATAAGCACGTTAAACATGTAATCAAGAAGCAAATAAATACATAGAGCATGGACACAAGCATGATATGCACCCAAAATCCATCGTCCTAAGGTTTTTGAACTCAGACGCTGTGATACCACCTATGACGGCCCTGAATTTTTACAAACCTAGTGCATCCTGTGATAACCCGAAATGGATCCAAAAATGCGGAAACAAAATAAAAACAAGTCTTTGGAGATGTACGTCATCCCTAAGACATAAGAATGGGCTACCGAGGAGTCCCATGACTCTGCGGAAGCAAGACCGAAGTTAGGGTTTCAAAACCCTTCAAATAATGGACCAAGGGCAAAATGATCATTCCAAACTGAAATAGGTGCCACTGTGCACATGGATAGACAATGAAAAATCAACAACTCTAGACTCAAGAATCTCTTGATTCGGAGTCCTGATGGCAAAGATATAAGATAGAACGAAACGACATTCTCCGATTAAGAGATACTACAACCCTATCTCACTAAAACGATCCTAACTTCTTCATTTCTAATCCAAATTGGTCATTTTTTAGTCTAACCTCAAGAGCTTGAGGTCAGCTTCCCAATGGTACCAACCACACACAGAAAATCCAACCGTAGTAAGAGTTATGACAGTTTTAGTGAGTTAGGGTTGTAGTATTTCTTAATCGGAGGACGTCGTTACGTTCTATCTTCATATCTTTGTCATCCGGACTCCGAATCAAGAGATTTTTAAGTCTAAAGTTGTTGATTTTTCGTTGTCTATCTAATGGTGTGCACGGTGGCACCCATTTCAGTTTAGAATGACCATTTTGCCCTCGGTCCATTCCTTGAAGAGTTTTGAAACCCTAGCTTCGGTCTTGTTTCCGCAGAGTCACGGGATTCCTCGGTAGGCCGTTCTTATTTCTTAGGGATGACGTACATATCCAAAGACTTGTTTTTATTTTACTTCTGCATTTTTGGATCCGTTTCGAGTTATCACATGATGCATTGGGTTTATAAAAATCTAGGGTCATCACACCTACACACCGAACGCCCATTTGGGAAATTTCATAAATATTATAAACACTTAAGATAATGCATCTAATTTTATTTATACACAATGGAAAATACAATAATGAAATTCAAAATAGCAAACCCCTTTGTGGCCCGGCGTTAGTTGCACCCCGCTCTCCGGTTTCGAACTTTCACACCTCTAATTTATGAAAAATAAAAATTATTATCGAAATAATATCCCTATAAATATAATTTAACTAATATAATATAATATTTATATTAAATCATCATTACTATGATATAATTATATTTGTATTAAAATATTCATGACAAAAATAACCCAAATATCAATCAAACCAAAAAGATTGAAAGAAAAATATATTTTCTATTTTCTATTGATTATTATATTTATAAAAAAAGTATTCAAGAAAATTATAAGAAATTACTATTTTATGATTTGAATAACATAAAACTTACTATAAAAAATGACATTATTATAAGTTCATAAAACTTTATTAAGAAATCAAAATTAAATTTTATGAAAAAATTAGGTAATTATAATATTTTTTTCAAAATTTTATTTTTTCCTTTTTTCTTTCTTGTCTGATAATTTCAATCTAACCAACCTTAACCTAAAAGAATAATCTCACACTTTAGAGGTCGTGGATAGAATTAGGGGTGGCAAAATTTGACACAATTCGTCAATACGACACGAGGGAAGTGGGTTTGGGTTGACCTTAAATGGGTTCGGGTCATAAACGAGTCGACACGATTAACCCGTTTACTTAATCGTGTCGTGTTTGGGTTAAGGAGTTCAACCTGTGTAAACCCATTTATACCTGTTTAACTATACGTGTCATAAAATTTTGTTTTATTTAAGTTCTAAAATAACTATTTAAACTTATATCTTATTATTTATTCTTTTGTAAATTAGAGATTATTTAGTAATTTGGTTGAATTGAAACTTATATTTTTCTAGTATTTATTATTCAATTGATTATTATTATTAATTTAAATAATATAATAATTTATTTTATTAAATGGGTTATATAGTAATAAATAGGTTGAATTAGTTTTGAGGGTTCTTGACACAATTATTAAATAGATCGTGAACTGTCTAGTATAATATGGTAATACCCTTAGATCGACACCCAACCCTTTTTTCCGCCGGAGTTGGTGCCAAAATAAGACCACTTTAAAAACAAGGGTAAATTAATTACACTTATTACTTTCAAATTTTTAAATATCTCACGTTTGAGATTTATTACTTTGTTAAGACTATAAAAAGTTAATTACATCATTATATAAAATAAATTTTTATATTTTTATAGTACCCTAAAAAAATAAAAATAAAAATTGTTCCTATCGCAGCCCTCTAGAGCCCTTTGTTCTCTCTCTTTGTCCTACTAGAGTCTTCTCTGTAACCTCCATCGCCCCCAAATCAAAACACAACGCCGAGACATGGCAGAGATCGAACCAAAGCGCGAACCCTCAGCAATGGCGAGCGGAGACCAAGAACCCAAGAAACCCAACCCTTTTTTCTCTCTCTTCCAGAAACCTCCCTTCTCGGACTTCTTTCCATTCAAGCGAGAGGCGACAGAGAAGAAGTCAGAGGCTTCCGTTTCGGAGAAACCAGCGACAACTGTGGTTGAGAAAGCGGAAGAGAGTAAGCGGGTCGCCGTGAAGTTTCCCGATACCCGGCCGGAGATTCCTCCTTTGAAACTCGAAGCTGAGGAGGGTGAACAGAACACCAACCCCGTGGTTCTGTGGCAGGTACTATGATCTGTTCATAAGTTCTAGTTAATTTTATTGGAATTGTCTCTTAATTTGCCATCGTCATCATGTGTGTTGAGGGTTATGTATTTATTGGTTTCTTGTTTGGATGTGTTTGGTTTTTGAGAAAATACGCGATGGTTTAAGGAATCAGATTTTGAATATTGGTCTTCTTTTTAATTAGTTTCTGCCGGCTAAAACAGAAAAAAATATGTGGCTTCTTGGATTTAAGACTCACAGAGTATTTGCTAATTTATGGCACAGTTTGGGTCTGGACTGGTTTGTCAAATTGAATCAGGTCAAAATTTGGCCAGAGTTTCAGAAATCTGTGGCGAAATTTGGTAGGGGAGCCGTGGCGCGATGAGGTTGCTCCATTGTGACCAGAATGTCACAGGGTTCGAAAGAAAGGAGACAACCTCTTCTCTTCATGCAAAGAGAATGCTGCATACGTCTGACCCTCCCATACCCCTTAATTGCGGGAGCCTCGTGCACTGGGTTTGCCCTAAGTTATGGTTGTATTAAGACCCATTTTAATTTTTATCTTTTTTGTTGAATTAGATGAAAAACTTGACAATTATGTTAAACTTAAAAAATTTGGCAGACAAACACTAAAAAGGAAAAGAATCAAGTTGTCTAAGTTCCTCAAATATGGACAAGTTTGAATTAATAGTATACTACTTTAAGTTTGCAATTAGGTCTTGCTATTCGTTGTACCTTGTGCAACTACAAAAAGCAGCTGTAAACATAACATTCAAAATGTGTTTATTTTCTCCGTCCCTCTTCCATCTATTTCTTAATGACTGTGCGAGGGTTTGGATCTCATTTTAGTCAATTGTATGAAGTTTTAATGGTTGTCATCCCTTTGGCTGGCTAAGCCAACTAACTTGTACATTTAGAGGGTTTAGTTTCATGGATGCTCGGGAGGCCATATTTGTAAATATATGGGCAATAATTTGAGATGCTTTGTATATCTGCAACTGATGTCAAATATTGATAAGTGGCACCATAGTAGTAGTTCCGGTGTGATAAAATTAATCATAGGATTTGCCACCTGAAACACATGATTAATTTTTAGTGCTTCATAAACTTTTCATGTGCCTAATTTCAAGATGGGAATACAATTTTGCTCTGCCAATTGTAGCTATGATTGATTTTTAGTGCTACATAAACTTTTTATGTGCCTAATTTCAAGATGGGAACGGGATTTTGCTCTGCCAGTTGTAGCTATCAAAAACGATATCTTTTTGGCCCTGTGTAGTTCTTTTGGCCTTCGCTCCCCTTTTGAGCGCTTCTATACAATTGTCTTACTTATAAATAAAAAAAAAACCATATCTTTTAAACCATCTTCCTAGGATTCTTGCTAGGGGTGCACAAAAGAACCGTGAGAACCGAGTCGGAACCAAAGCTTCGGTTCCGGTTCCGAATTTAGGAACCGTGGGCATACGGTTCCGGTTCCAGCCCGTGGGAACCGGTAAGAACCGAAACCGTATATATATATATATATATATATATATATATATATATATATATATATATTATATTTAATTTTATAATAAAGAGTAAACTGTAAAGAGTCAAAGAGACTTAGACGCGTGAAAAAAAAAAAAAAAAAAAAAAAAAAAAAAAAAAGCGTGAAAAACAATAAAACATACTTCTTTAATTTTTTTGCCCTAAATCTCTCACTCTCTTAGTCCTCGCCTCCTCTCAAATTCTCAATCTATCTTCTAAACAGATGAACCCTAAGCTAACCCTTGCCCCCTCTGACCTCTCATCGCCCTCGCCTGAGTCGCCTCCTCTCATCTCCTCAGTCCTCATCGCCCTCGCCTCCTCTCAAGTCTCATCTCAAGCTTCCTCGTCGATTCAGTCCTCATCGCCCTCGCCATCTCAGATTTCATCATTAATCGTCTCCGATCTCAGATTACTCGGTAAGTCCTTGATTGATCTGTCACATATGTTGGTTTCTAAACTATTTTTTCTATCTATTCCTTTTTAATATCACTCCCATCTCAGATTTCTCATCAGTCATTCATCCTCACTCCCATCCCAGATTTATGCAGCAGCAGGCCAGCAGCATAATACTTTTTTTCAGTTTATGTGGAAATGCACTAATAGTCTAATTCTGTAATTCAGTATTTTATTTTAGGAATTTAGTATTTAGAATTTCAAACTATCAGTTTTTTTATTTTGAAAGGTTATTCAGAATTTCAGATTTCAGTTTATTATTACCATGGGATGGGATGTAATATTATATAATTTATACTATCAGACTTAATTATCAGTTTTATTTTCTGTATTCTGTATTTATTTATATTTATATTTTTGATATTGTATTCTTAATTTCTGTTAAGTGTTAAGTAATGGAAGTTATGGAACACCATTGAGTTACAAGTTACAACATTTCAGTGTTAAGTGTTGTATTCAGGGAACATTTCAGTGTTAAAGTGTTGTATTCTGTTAAGTGTTGTATGCAGGGAACATTTCTGTAACAAAAAAACCAAACAGTTAACGGTTCTCATGGAACCGAACCGGTTCTATGGTTCGGTTCCATACTATACGGTTCCGGTTCTGGTTCCATTTTTAAGGAACCGTTGTGAACGGTTCTGGTTCCGACTGGAACCGTAAGGAACCGAACCGTGTGCACCCCTAATTCTTGCAATTCCCATTCTGTTCCTTTTTGCTCATTTTCTGCACCTTCAATTCAATTTGGTTCCTGTCTGTGCTCTTATTTGTTAGGATATATGATCATATCTAGCTTCAATTTGGTTTTGATCCATTTTATAGGTCTAGAAGTCTCGATTTCAATAATATATAACCATATTAGTTGACCAATAAACTCTTTTGAATGTGGATGATGGTTCCAAAAGGGATCGGATATAAATTATTTGAAAGCTGAATGAGTACTTTCCAAGGTGAATACCTCCTGTCACTTGGCATATCAAATTGTGAAAAGCTTAAAATTTGAGAAATCGTCTTTAATCGTCGTGACATCTAAGGGCCTCCCCTCCTCATTGTGGCACTTTTAGCCTAAATCAACTTATCCCTTCTCACCTACATAGGCTCTATTATATTTTTGTAACTGACATTCTTTGAGGAAAGACGAGTTAACTGAACTAGCAATTACTTAGATTCATCTTCTTATTAGTAGTAATAACTTGTATAACTTTACAAATATACAGGTACTTATTTTGCAAATTTTATTTATGTTTGGGGAGGTGTTTTGGTATGTTAATATATGTACTATTATTGATTTTATTAGTTTCTTGATTTATCACTTTCTTTCCCAAATCGATGAATTTATACACTACTAATAGGGGGTCATATTTCCTACCCGTTTATGCAGATAAAAACACATTAATTAATATTTTTATTTTTATTTATTTATTTTTTTTTCCCAGTAAATAAAACACATATTAATAGATTCAACAATTTCTGACTCATCTGGTAAACTGGTTTCTTATTTTAATATGAATTAGATAAAAAGAGTCGATCTTGAGATCCAAACAATTTTGAAATATCAGGACAAAAGTAATAAGTACTTGACGAGTTAATGCCATAAGTATTTTTTAAATAGTTTCTATAATTTCTTAATATAATAATTTCTTAAAATTAAAGATTTATGACAGATTGGATGGTTCATATAACGTTCACACAGTTTTATATGGATTGAGTTTTAGTTCTTGACCGGACAAAATACTTAATTGGCAAGTGGAATTCAAGTCATTTAGTGGCAAGAATTGGTTGATGTTTATAGGACTTTTCCTTCTATGTTTGTTTTGTGATCAAATTGTTTTTATCCTATCATAAACAATTATATGGACGGAAATTTATTTTGCATTATGATTTTGTTTTATTTTTTAAATTTAAATCTCATATAACTTTTAAAATGTAGTGACTTCAATTCTATTGAAGATTTGGGAAAATTTTGTAGTTTTGTACAACAAAAATTAGCTATAAGTTAATGCAGTGCATGGACTACAGAGGGGTTCTGAGAGAGAAGAAAAGAGAGGGAAGGGGAGGGAAGGGGTAGGGGAACTCATATTTCTTACCCGTTTATGCAGATAAAAACACATTAGTGTAGGTAAATAGATTCAACAATTTCCTCATCCGATAAACTGGTTTCTTATTTTAATATGAATACTGTGGTTTTTGACCCCTTTTAGATAAAAAGAGTCAAAATACTTTATTGGCAAGTGGAATTCAAGTCATTTTAAGTGCCAAGAATTGGTTGATGTTTACAAATAGGATTTTTCCTTCTATGTTTGTTTTGTGATCAATTGTTTTTATCCTATCATAAACAATTATATGGATGGAAATTTATTTTCCATTATGATTTTGTTTTATTTTTTAAATTTAAATCACATATAAATTTTAAAATGTAGTGACTTCGATTTGGGATTTTTTTTATAGTTTTATACAACAAAAATCAGCCACGAAATTAATTTCTTCCCCCTCCCTTTTCTCTTCTTCTCTCTCTCGGAACCCTCCTTAGTCCACGTGGCCGTGCACTGCATGAATTCACTGTTAAGTGTGTTTACTGTTTACGTTAATGCTGTTATCATTTTGATATATATATATATATTTTCCGTTTAAATTTTGTTGTTTGTAGTGCTTCTCCTATGAAATTCTGTTCGAATTTTCTGTGAAAAGTGTGCTTGATTTTTTTGTGCCCTTTTAAAATCAAAGCCTATGGTTCGACTGGAAGAAGCAAGAAACCTTAAGAAAGTGTCAGTGGAGATGCAATAGAGTATATAAAGCACATTAACCATCTGGATTTTGAGACTTCAGTTTTATAAATAAACTTATGTATGGATCTATAGCATTCGAAGAGTTGGAGATCATATTTATTTTTGATGAAATTTATGTCTGTGTGGTAGGAGGAAATAGTGGAAGAAAGGTAGAAAGAAGGGAAGCAAGGGGAAGTTTTCCCTTTTGGAAACACTAAATTTTCCTTTTATTTTCTTTGCTGTGTATACAAAAACTTAATTTAATCTATTTGGCTGCGGTGATTCTCAGGTATACGCTGTTGGAGGGTTCTTTATTTTGAAGTGGCTATGGGCGAGATGGAACGAGAGGAGGATAAACAAGAGGTCATCTGATGAAGAACCATCTCCGGACGACGACAATTAGCTTTCACTGCCTCGGAGATTCCTTCTTGTGTTGGATATGAGAGAGTTCTGGTAGTTGTGCAATGTATAAATTTGAATTTTCAGTTGGTGGATTACAGACCATATATATTTTCTTTTTCTTGATTAACAGTAAGTTTCAACAAGCACAGCTTTCTCTTTTGCCAATGCCTTTTTGTGGTTTAATTTTCACAGATTCTCCATTCCATGCTTTTAAAATTTTCAATCCTATGCTTCCAGTTGCATCTCCAGCTTTGCATTGATGAATTGTACATACAAACTAGGCATAAAATTTTAAGATTTATGTCATCTAGAGTCCAGCTGAAGAAGTAAGTTTTTTTGCTTCGTACATTAAGTTTGATTAGTTTTTAAGATCCAAATGGTTCAACGTATATAATCCCAGTACGATAAGAGGACTTCTGGGCTGTTAATTTTTTACCATCATAATATGATTTTTTTTTTTCTTTTTTTCCCTATAATATGATTACTAAATAACAAGTTACATTATTGAAGAACTTTAACAATATATATATATTTCTTAGTTAACTTTCACAATAATTAACATAAAAGAAATTTCACAAAGATGACGGAGACAAAGATAACAATCACTGCTCATCCTAATATTTTTTTGTAATTGGCGATTTCTCATCCTAATATTTTTTTGTAATTGGCGATTTCTCTTATGAAATAAGGACTGGTCAACTTAAAAGGGACCTCACCAAATGTCTTGTGGCCTATTAGTATTTCTTCTAAAATACTGACATGATTTGGAGAGAATCTAGTAAGCAACTGTTATTTTAATATAGTATTTGTTAGTATTAAAAAGAAATTCAATTAGAGTTAACTCCAAAATTGTAAAGGTATTAGATGAATTGAGGTTTTGAAAAATATTTTATTTTATTATAATTATTTTTTTTTTTCATTGTCAAGCAACACAAAATATAAAATTTTGATTTCAGTATCAAATAAAACGGCCTTTCCTTTTCTGAGCCTGCAAATCAAATCACATGTTTAAACTCTATAATTCTTTTTCCAAATAAATAAATAAATAAATAATGACTAGAATTAAAAGTCCACTAATGAATGAAAAACCAATAAAACAGTAATCAAACATGTGACTCCGTGGTCAAAACTAAAATACTAAAAAAAGCCAGTTTTGACGGAAGCGTCACGATCCGTAAGAACACGTGTTGCGAGAATTAACGGCAAAGCCAGTTCTGACGGAAGCGTTACGAAACTGTAACGACAGAGACAACACCGTCAACCTTTTAACACACAGTTTTGTTTTGTCTATGCTTCTTTCCGTCTTCTCTCTCCTCCCAACTCTCTCTCTCTACACTACACTCCCATGGCCTCATGCAACCAAGGCTTCCCTCTCATCACCGAAGACGACGACGACAACTCTCACCGGCACCAGACCTTCGCCTCTCACTGCGCAACCGCCGATAAATTCACCGGCGCCGGTAACTCCGCCGAGTTCTACTCTCAGAATGCCGACGCCAACTCCTTCGCCGACGCAGGCGACGAATCCTCCGACCAGAATAGACCTGAAACCACCACTCGGAACGGCAAGAGAAATTCCAACCACCACAAGAAGCCCAAACATGGCGGTGCAGCCGCCGATTCCAGCGGCGAGTTCCGCGTCGATCACCGGAAGGATCGCGAGGAGTGGAGCGACTCAGCGATTGCGTTTCTTCTCGATGCATACACAGAGAAGTATTTGCAGTTGAATCGAAGTAATTTACGGGGGAGAGATTGGGAAGTGGTGGCCGAGATCGTGAATGAGAGGTGTGATACGCAAAAGTCTTGTAAGAGTATGGAACAGTGTAAGAACAAGATTGATAATTTGAAGAAGAGGTATAAAGTTGAGTTTCAGAGGATGAATGGCGGTGGCTTAATGGCTAGTAATTGGCCCTGGTTTAAGAAGATGGAGGTGATTGTGGGCAATTCAGTGTCAATAAAGAGTGTTTCTGATGAAGATAAGTCTGGTGGAGGAAACTCTGCTAGTGTGATTAGGCAATCAAAGAGGTATATCACTGTTTAAATACATGTTTATACTGCATAATTGTTATTATTCTTGTTTTCTTCTGTTGTATTTTTCATGTTTGAAGTCTTGGATTGCTATTTACCTGAAATGTATGACGCTCATTGCAATGTTTTTATGATCGAAGAACTCAATTCGTTGGTTTCTCTTGTTGAATATATTGTCTAATTGGCATTTTAAGGGAAATTGATGGTGGCATGAAAATCGTCATAAATATTTTTAAATTTAAAGAATGAGATTGTTTGGAGATGCAGAATGATTTTCTAGGCTTTGGAGATGTCCATCCTTGACCTTAAGAAAATTACTCTTTTTTTTAGTTTTTTATTATTCATCGAAAAAGTAGAGTTGATTTTTTTTTTTTTTATTTAGGGAAATTGGTTTTTTATGCTTTTTTATACTCCAATATACATCTGTTGCACCGTCTTTGTCTGCTTCAATTTAAATTTTATTTAAAAAAAAAAAAAAATTTTGAATTCCTGTTGTAATATGCACTGACAATTCTTAGCTGCTAATGGGTTAAGGTGAATATGTAAGGAAGTTGAAGGTGGAAATTTTGTGTGGCCATTAGGCATAAGCTGACTTAAAAGGATCAATGCAAAATTGCATCTTCACGTAATGAGAGGAGGGTATGTGAGACTGCTGGAAATTTTATCAACCCTGTACTCTATTGCTTGGTTTCCTCTAATTGACTGTGCATCATAGTGATTTAACTTCTTGGTGCTTCTATTGTCTAGTCTTGTAGCCTCATCAAGTTGTTGTTAATGTGCTTCTCTATTTATGAAATTGAAGGTCCTTTGAGGGTGTGGAAGCTCCAATTTGGATATTGAAACACTCTATATTTGGTTTCTTATTTTTTTTTTTGGGGTGAAAGGGCACATATGTACATCTGAAGAAGATAATGTTGATTTTTCGGACAGGGTTAGGATATGCGCTCCCCTTTGAGGCATTTTTTGTTTTTAATGAATTTTACTTTTAAAAAAATGTGCTTATAGATTTGTGTCTGAAATAGTCCTGTTCTTCCATGACTATGTGAATACGTTCCTGTATCCCTAGCTCTTTTATTCATGGCAGTTAATCAGATCGAAGAGAATTGTTGCAATCTTGAAATTTCAAGAATCTTTAATGCCCTAGGTTGGTGGTTTTAGCAACTCGTGATATAGAAGAATTTGAGGATCTCATGAAGCTGGTTATTTCTACATTATATCAGTAGCAATATTTGTCAGCTTAAAAGTGTACATTTTATACAAAGCAAAAATGAACTTACTATAAGCAATACATAACTTTGTAATGTTTACTTTTACTTTTCTATTTTGATTTTTTTGAAAAAGATAGTTACCAAGATGACAACTCTTGTACCACAAAATAAAAAGGACTTTCTGTGTAGTTGCCCTCTTCAAATCTGGATTGAAAAATCCAGTAACTGTAGATCCATATAGATTGTGCCCTATATTCATAAAAAAACTCCCTTTTAGTTTTGAATTTATTTATTTTCTTTATGCGATAGGAAACAAGAAGATTTTATTCAAATAATTGACAATGTATAAAGTTGAGCATGACATAAAACTGTGAAAGTGGAAACAAACTACCTCAAGTGAGGTTGCACCATCTTCGCCAAGAAATCGGCCTTACAATAGATCTCAGAAGAGAAAACTTATAAAAAAGAAAGAAAATAGATCAAAGAAGATAAAAAGATGCATAGCAACTAACACATTACAAGCTTGATCAAGTGATCACAATATCAAAGGATTTTTTTTTTTTTTTCTTTCCTGTCTACAAAGTTATCTTCTTTATTACCCTACCAATTTCCCTGCACCAAGGGATGGTTCATTGACAAAGGGACTTCTCTTAAAGACCTTCAGCTTAAGTCTCCACTTTAACAACATTTCCTTGACCAGCTGGCTTCAAATAGTTTAAAGAAAATTCTCCACCCATGATCTTAGAAAATGCCACCCTCTCTATTTGCCCCAAATTCCTAGGAATGCAACTGAAAGTTACACTTGGTAACTTCAATATGAGGATGTTTTCTGAAGGCCCAAGGACTTAGCCTCAGGCCGCAATCTAATTTTTGAATCATAAGAGGAACATCTTTAAAATCCTTGATAATCGAGGATTATGATGAAGCCAAAAGTCACGTTGCCCTACATACAAATCCTAATGTGTCTCCTACATGTCAAAGATCTGACGGTCTGATTCCGATGAAGTATGGAATTATCTGGTGTGATGCTATGAGTCAGAGACCTTTTTCTTTAATTGCTTTTTTAAGATCTCAGATGGTGATGTTCTTGATGTAATGCATTGCTACAAATTAATATAACTGCCTCCTGATGCGCCGAAATGGTTATCCAATAATCTTGCAGCACTTAGATAGAGACAGATGATTCTTTCCATTAAATGACAGATTTACCCTTATCCATGACTGATACTTAGATCAGACTCGCTCAAGTTCTAATCTGTCTGATTATTAAAAAGTTACTCTGCCTTTTAATTCATTATTAAAAGTTACTCTGTCTTTTAATTCATTTTATAGAATCATCAAATTTTATAAATAAAAAAAGTATAGTAGACTCGGTCTATGTTTCAATAAAATGAAAAGTAATACTTATTTGTAATCATTTCATCTCGTATATGATGTTGTGTTTGATGAGCTGTAAACCATGTATAAACACTTGTTTCGGCTGGAAGTACTGCTATTATTGAATTTTCCTCACCTTTTACTTTATAGTTGGACCTCATCATAATGGGACATCACAAAACATAAAATTTAGCTGTTAGACCTTGTTGATAGGATCACTTGCTTATGAGTAACTGTAACTAGCACTACATTGCATGATTATTATCATAACTTCTGGTGTCATCCTTTAATTTCTGGGCAGATATGCACCTGACAATGTTTCTGCCTTTGCAAACAGTAAATCCAAATCAATGCCAGCGCTAAAATGGCGGCGAGTAGTGTTCAAAATTAGTGGTGTTGCATTGTCCAGGAACAGTCAGAGTGTTGACCCAAAGGTGCAAGTTTATCTCGTTTGTAATAATTAGTATCTGTTCAGATCTGTCTTGATTAAGAATAAAGGGCTTGCATCAACTTAACATACTCTTTTGGCTCCCTGTAATGTAATCTATGTGCTGACTGAATCTTTCTATTGTTAGGTGGCTTTGCAGATTGCTAGAGAAATAGCAACAGCTTGCCGCGTTGGTGTTGAGGTATTTCCTAGATTCCCTTGTTTTTCTCACTTTGCTAGCCACTTCGTTAGCTTTCAAAGCATTGAGTTTCCTGATTTTTTTTTTTTTTAATGATTGCAAGATGCTTGTGAGATGTAGGTGGCTATTGTAGTTGGAGGTCGTAACTTCTTTTGTGGGGACTCATGGGTATCAGCTACTGGCCTAGATAGACCTACAGCATACCAAATTGGGTAATTTTCCTATTGACTGGCATATTGAGTTTTCCTCTACAAACTAACTTGCATTTTATCCAAATTAGCATTTGAATACTACCGTACCTTGATTATTCCTTTCCCAAATTTAGCCTTTTACCTCCATTTTTGCTCATTATATTCTGTCAAAGCAGCCAATTCCGTTTTGTTACCAAAAATGAAGTGCAGTTTTATTATGGGTATGTTATTAAAAAACTATGCCACTTTTGTTGACTGTATGTCTGAATCCTCTGCAAGAACTAGAATGAGATGGTAAGACCAGAAACCTAGCAATATAACACTTCGCTCAGAGATGATTCTTAGCATACTGTGTATGGTCCGCACCTGTTCATCCGTTTGTCAAGGAAGGGAAGGTCACATGCATACAGACATGATTATCAAGAATATGGGTTGTTGGGGCAGTCATGGTTTAGTGTCAACTGCGTCATTAGGTTATCATGCTACCCTTAGGTTGTGTCTTACTGCTGCCCTAGGTTGTGTGCATGTCTTTTCTTGAAATATCTCTTTATGCCATCGGTGTGGTCATAATTATTTGACTGACAAATTCTGGGACTTTATCAACATTTGCAATCATTTATTGAAATGTATCATTCAAATTCTGTCGAACAGACATGGAGATGTTGTATTTGCAAAATATATGCAAACTAAATAAGTCCAGGATAGAATGGAGATGTATTAGGGCAGTGACGGAGTCAAGAATTTATTTCAGGGGTACATTGAATATCGTAAAATAAAAATAAAAAATCCAACTAATATGGCAACTAAAAATTTAGCAAGACAGCACACCCAAAAATAGATGTGCAAGATTCAGACAGTATGTCACTGTTCTCAAAAAAATTCCAGTAAAGAAAAACTTAAAAACATAAAATACGGTCATTAAACTTGTAGAATTGCTTTAATAAATTTAAAGAAGAAGAAGAAGAAGAAGAAGAAGAGAGAGAGAGTATGCAAAGAGAGAGAAAAAAAATTGGAATTGCTTTAATTTATTTAAGGGGCACCTTGAATATAGTAAAAAAATTCCAACTAAAAATTTAGTAAGACAGCAAACCCAAAAATAGATGTGCAAGATTCAGACAGTATGTCACTGTTCTAAAAAAAAATCCTATAAAGAAAATAATTAAAAACATAAAATACGGTCATTAAATTTATAGAATTGCTTTAAAAAATTCAAAGAAGAAGAAGAAGAAGAAGAAGAGAGAGAGAGAGAGAGAGAGAGAGAGAGAGAGAGAGAAAAGAATAAGAATAGAGAAAACAAAAAAGTTACTGGACGTATATCATAAATGAGTGAAAGAAGAAGAAAATTTAATATGAGGAAAATAAATAAATAAATAAATAAAACAAAAGGAGGAGGAGGAGGAAAAACAATATTTAGAAAGTTGCATTGCATGGGTGACGGAGCGAGTGAAGGGTTTAGACAAGGAATTTCAATCATTAGAGGGATTTTTGGAAAGGGGGAATTTTTTGAGAGAAAATTTTACAAAATTATACACATAAAAGTAAAGAAATAAAATAAAATGAGGGGGCCAGCTCTATGCTGGCTCTGTGCCAGTAGGTAGTATTTTCCTGTAGCATTAATGCAAGTTTGTTCTTCTTTTCACTTTTTGGTTTTAGATTTTTTTTTTATTGGTCTGGTGAAGTACAGTGATTCAAGTAGCATTTTGAGGTACATGAAAAAAGTTCAAGAACTTGTGAATTTCAAGAGTTTATTTTGCAGTAGCGTTAACATTGGTTAATGAGCTTCCTTTGTATCAATTTATCTCATATAAGCTTTGAGTTCATAGTTCTGATGCAATCCATTGTGGCAACCATTATCAGAGCAATTAATTCTATAAAAAAATTACCACTTTTATGCTATATTTGGATCAATGTTAGGAAAACAAAGCTGTTGTTAACAGTGTCTAATTTTGTAATGACCGGTACTGTGTTATTGTGGAAGCAATTATATTATATATTGTTTAATGAAATTGCCTTATTTACTATGATAAAGTATAAAATGATTTTGTATTTATGCTGAAATTGTAACAATGAATGAAAAATGCAACAGATATTACTATTATTGTATCAGTTTTTGGTTGTCCTGGTTTATGCTCTTGAAGACATGATATCATCTATTTATGGTGATGTTATGATTTGTGCAGCATTGTTGTAAGTAGTGACTGAAACATCCAATGCATGAGTGACATTGTTCATGTTCAATGCATTGATGGTTTAGGAATCAGTTGACATTACCCAGTTATTTGCATAGCTTGGTTGCAAACATGAGTATGCAAAGTGGGTTGGCAAAAACTAGAAAAAGACTGAGGGAGAAAATGCATAAAATATACAACACATAAAAAATTAATACTATCATTTTCTTTCTTTTTCATCCTCCCTTTACTTTCCCCTCCCACTTATCCAAATTCAATGTAAAGGGCTTGGAAACCATGAAAGGTGCCCACATTAGAGTAGGAAAAGTAATGGCAGAAGCCAAGTGGAATGATTTAGAACTTTTTCTTTTTAGTTGGGTGCGTGTTTAAGGTGGTTTGGGTGATCTACCATTCTCTCAGGCTTAATACCCAGTTCATATCTGGGGCTAAGTTCACCTCGTGGTTTATGATCCCCCCACCCCTCACCCCACCATGGCAACTGCCATTGCATCTACTTCAGAAAAGAAAAGGGGAGCTTCACTTTGCTTTTTCCCACCTAGTCTAGAAAATTGACGTTATGCAGAAAATGCTTCTGTAAGAACCATGATGAAGACTTCTTTGTATGCTGATAATATGACAAATAAGTATGAAAGCCATCTCAGTCAAACAATCAAGAAAAGGAAAAAAAAAAAGAAAAAAAAAGGCCTTCTGTGTCTACTGTTACTATTTCATGGAAGTTAAGATCTATCTCCTTAGATGATTGTATATGTTAGTGAGATTCCTGTTTCCCTTGGAGTGGAATATTTAACTTATTTTGAACTTGGTTTCTTTTCTGACCATGCACTGTTGGTTTGTTGTCAGTATGATGGCAACAGTTATGAATTCTGTACTACTTCAATCAGCTTTAGAGAAATTAGGTTTTCAGACGCGTGTGCAAAGTGCATTTCCAATGCCAGAGGTTGCTGAACCATATAACAGGCTACGTGCTATCCGTCATCTTGAGAAAGGAAGAATTGTCATCTTCGGTGGCATTGGTGCTGGTGTTGGAAATCCACTCTTTACCACTGACACAGCAGCAGCTCTGAGAGCTTCTGAGAGTAATACCCTTTCCTTTTCTTGATTTATTGATTTTCATTTCTGGTTTAGATTATTCGAAAATTATAGTTGCTTGTGGATTTGAGGTATTTGCAATGGACTGATTGGTTTCTATAATTGAACGAGTATGGTATAGATTTACCTTTTTTAAACCTGAACTTTAAATTTCAACAAGATGCATGGATGAATTTGAGAACTCATATGGATGGACTTGGAACAAGATGATAGATGTTGTTTCAAATCCATGCCAAAAGACTTGAAGTTGAATAAGGATCCTAACAAAATATAAAGCCCATATGTGTCCAATCCAACTCCAATTCTTTTTATGTATTTGTAATTTTGAATTCAAATCCCTGAATTTAGATCGATTGCCCAATTTCACTTATATTTTATTCAACCCCCTACCCACCCCAGCTTACCATATATACCTCCTTCTGTACACTGAGTGCATATTGACCTGTATGGCTGGCCACTGATATATACCTTGTTTAATCTAAACATGAGCAGATGGCCAGAACTGTGCAGAAAGAATTCACAGACACTTGTCCCAAAAGATTGAAAATAAACCAAGTGTTCACAAATGTTTGGTTGTTTCTGATCATTGTATTTATATCTTCAGATTTTCTCCTGTTCTGCTGTTCTTTTTTATTTTATTTCGTTAAATTTTATATCTAACCATAACAAATGCACATTGCCTTTTCACTTTATTGTTTTTTCTTTCTTTTCTAAAGCTGGGACCCTTTTTCATAGCAAATCATGACACGGTTTTTTATTTTTATTTTTTATTTTACCTTCAGTTAATGCAGATGCTGTCCTCAAAGGTACAAATGTAAATGGCATCTATGATTGCCAATCTGTTGACAACAATGCAGTGCTAGATCACATGTCTTTCAGGGAGGTTGTTTCTAGGGGCATTACCTCTATGGACATGATGGCAATACAATACTGTCAAGAGAATGGAATTCCAGGTTGGCCATACTCTCCCTCCTTTTTTTTTCCGAGTCATCGTTTGTTTCAAAACCCCACATTCTTTTATAAAGTGTACGCTCTTCTTTTGCAGTTGTAGTCTTTAACCTGCTAGAGCCTGGCAACATTTCAAGAGCATTATGCGGAGACCAAGTTGGCACCTTGATTGATCAAGCAGGAAGGATCAGTTGACGTGTTCAGAACATACCAACACTTTAAACCCTGGTATGGAGTCCGTGGAATTGCCATTAGTGCATTCTCCAGAATATATCTTCAAGACAACGCAAGGTATCTTTCTTCAAAGGGGAAAAAGAAAAAGTAAAGAAAAAAGAGACACAGCCCAACAATATTTAGCAAGCTTTTGCATATAACATGGAGAGGCTTCTGTAATATAAATGAGAGGGTGGTAGAAGAACTTTCTTTTGTCCAGAGTCCTTAATTTATTAGCACATAGTCAATAAATGCTTAGCAACAAGAAGGAAGCTTCTTGTTGGGAGTTTTGGTGGCTTATGCTGTTATTTAATGTTTACTCAGCCTGTAAATTCTTCTGCCGATGCCTTTTTTTTTAATGTTATTGGCAGGGGGAAAAACAAATTTTTAGAAATGTGATGCACAATGCATTTGACGAAAAATGTTTATTGGAAATAAGGGAACTGTCATGTATGTATATATGATGATACGATGCACCCTTCTTGCAAGAATGCGTTCTTATAGGAATCTGTCTGGTGCTTGAAGATAACATGCGGTATACAAGAGGTGGTGCTTTTGAAAGTTTTCGGCTTTCACTATGTCCTGTGAGATTTTGCATCTCTATGGTCTTTGGTTTTTACTGTTTTTGCATTCAGAACTGCTGTCCACACCAATTCTTCATGGACGATTGTATCATGATATAAAACTTTTCATCTTTCCCATTCGATTCAAAATGCATTTTTCATCCGTTTACAGAATCCACCATTTTTTCTAGCAAATGGAGCATCATTGAATGCCAAGTCCATCCCTTTGTTTGCTTTAGGCTTCTGCAACTTTTTTTCATGTAAGACGGTTAATAGCACGTGCTAACTACTGTTAAGTGACTCTTTCTGCTATGCTTAAGCTTCAATTTCCCTTTGAAGTGAGTCTCTTGAAATTTGATGTTTCTCCAATGAATTAAAGATTTGGCATTAGTTGTTTTAAGTGATTGTTCTCAAACGTGATCAAATATGAACAAGTATTAGAATGTATGGGAGGAAGTGTTAAAACATTATATGATTTCCACTAAGAAGATAAAAAAATTGTCCAAACAACAAATACGGCCCTCCCAAACGAGTCCCAACTTCAGCACTCTCCCCTAGTAATTGAAGTGTACCACCGAGTGTTCTCTTTTCTAGCATTAACAAGATCCATTGCATAAATAATCAAAATATAATAGAAATGAGAGCAAGTATACAATCAAAAATCAAAGAAATAAACAAATAAAAATAAAATTTTATCAGACCTCTGTTATTGTTTACATGAATATGAATGTCAGCTGAAAAATAGAACAATAATTGATTGAGGCGGAGAAACTGTACACAAGAGAAGCTAATCTAGCTAGAGATATGTATGGCAATGTGCCATTGTATCACTAAAACACCTGAAGAATTTTATATAAGATCTTGGACAGCATCAAAACAGCATCCATTATTGAACATGTAATTTCCAGCCTTCCTGATTAATTTCTCAGCAACGTCTGACACCTGTGATTGTACACAACAACTCTATATTCTATCTGTACAGAGTCTCAAGACCCATCTCAATTATTGGTTCATTTTGCCTCTTTGTCTCTTTACATTCTACTGGGCTAACTCGTCTATTGAATCTCTATTCCGACAAAACTTCACCTCAAAACTTCGCTTTTATTCCTTCCCTTCGGAAAGGTCCTCAATTGGATATCATGACCAGAAGTTGTTGAAGCTCCTACTCAGGTTGAAAATAACTGTCGTAGATAGAAAGCCTATCAAATGCATCGTAGTTTGCCTTTAATCCGATAAATTGGCTTCCAAATTGAGCACAACCGGCATCAGGCCACTTGCAACCTCCATCTCGGTTTCGCAATGGGCATAGAGTTTCACAAACCCGATTAAGTGGATTGTTGGACACAACATCATCTGGCACAACCGTTATAGAGACAGAGAGATCTGTCTCATCGTGCTTCACACTACAATCCGATTCACCTTTTGGAAGGGGATGCGTAAATTTCTGTGGAATTTCTGTTGGGTTGCATTCAAAGTCAACAGTACAATCACCGCTGCCTGAAAAGTGAACCTTGCACCCTAGCGATTGTATTGCTCGCTTTATGGCTGCACTTTCCTTGCTTGCTCTCTTGGTCAAATCCATGGCCAAGCTGCTGATATGTTTCTCATTTTGCAACTCCGCAGTTAAGGACCCCACAGTAGCTGTGATTTCTCTGGCTTTTCTTTCTGCCTCTTCTTTTGCCTGTAAACATTTATAAACATAAATAAAAGAACTCTTATGATATAGCCCTTGTTATAAAGTTAAACTAAAATTAGCCTAGTGTGAGGATTCTGATTGTAATCATAAATCACTTCGCGGAAATTACAGTCCAAGTTAAAAGTCTGGACTAGTCCTCCCTTAACTAACAGGGACCCAACTGGATAATAGCCTTTCTAGAGATTTACTTTAGAATTATGAAAACCAAAGAGAAAAGTCACCCTAATTAATCGATGGCATGTCTCAAGTCATGCTGTACCCCTATCAATTTTATATAACCGCTCAACCATTCTAATGAATGTCATTTCATTATTGAATAGTCTACTCTTAACTAGATGCATGCCAATTTCACTTCCCTCCGCCCCTTTAGAGCCTTAAATTGAAACTTGTAGTATTGTTGTAACAACTTATGGAGAAAAACATAGTACAGTTGTATTAGTAATAATATGGTTATATTCCAGTGGGAAAGAAGGTCTCAAGATTGATGAACATGCATAGCATATGCATGGCACGGAAACACAAAATCAGGACCAGTCAGCAGACATGGCAATTAGATACCTAATGATGAAGGTGATGAAGCAGTTCTACAAGGAGTAAGGTAAAAGCCACTATTGCTTGTTTTGAGATTATATCAAAAAAAAAAAAAAAAAGTAGGTGATAGATTATATCAATAATTCATAATTAGAGAAGTTCCCTTACAATTTATTTATAGGGCTAATTCCACTGTAAGAACACACAAGCAAAATCTATTACCTTCTGCAGTTCAGAGAATTTTTTAACCATATTCCTACACTCAGCTTCAACCTCTCCTGTTTGGGCTTCTGAGGGGCAAGCCCACCGAAGATGGAATTGAGGCCACACAGTTGGGGCTAAAGCTGCTGCTGGAGGCAATATTGGACGGTCATGTTTTGATGGATCATAAAAGAGGTTGTAGTGCACATGAGAATTTCCTTCTGAAGCTCGCAAATCAGCCAAATAAACCCACAAGCATCCACATACATCAGAAACTCCAAATTGCTGTCTTTCCTTCTCACTATAATATAAAACAAGCGTTCAAAAAATTAATTCACATTATTCAGTAAGCATCAATACTAAAAGTTCAAAATTTTTTTTTTTTTGCCCATGCATATTGTACAGTACGTATGTTCCCTCACTGCCAAACAAGATTCTGGTGCAATTGGAATTATTATAGGTCCAATAATCAAATATTGGAGTTCCAATATATGGCATGGTTTAAATTTTATCTCGGTAGTCATTAACACTTAGTACAGTGGCAAAAGCTCAGCTGTCAAGCGTAAGAATGCGAGATTGATTCCTGAGAGCATCCATTTCATGCAGTTAATATGCCTAAGATTAGGCCAGTATCTAGTTTTTCCTTCTTAGCACCGTTGATTAGCGGGATCAAAATTGGGTAGTGACTTTAGCAACACTTCGGACATGATTCAAAATTTAATAACTACGGTAAAATTTAGAAAATATCAAATGAAGAGCAAAATAAACTACTTAAAGTCAGGTGTTAAGAGTTCTGTATTCTTTACAAATTAAATTACGAAGTACTTTACAATATTCTTCCTTGTGAGTGACAAATAACCTTTATTTTCAGCCATTGTAAGTTAAGTCGCATAGCATGGAAACGGGAACAGACATGATATGACAAAGATAGTATACAACATGGATACGACTTAAATATGATAATACATAAATATAAATTCTCGATTGTATATATCCATTATATAAGAAAATTATGGAACTTTAGTTAACTAACTAATTTCTATACCAAGAATTGCATAATGTGGAAGATGCCATTAAATATCACAAAAACCATTATATTAAATATATCCACTGTGAAGTTCCTGTAACTCGCATGAAAAGCACCCATTCGCTCTCATGGCACGAGCGTTTTTCCGTCAAAAGTTACATTACTGTCCTTTACTAAGAAGTGTGCATTGAATGCTTGACTTGTGGTGACCATGCATACAGTATAAATTTTATTTATTTATTTTTATTTAATAAAAGAAATGTTGGACAATTCCAGATGCATTCCAATAGTGTCAGAGATAGTTCCTTTGAAGATGGGTGAAAATACAAGTCATTTTTGGGACACTGTAAAATGTGTGGGCCAAGTGTATCGAATAATAAAATTTAGTTTGAAATTCTTAACACATTCACGTGGTTTTCAGGAAGCAACTATGTGAGTGTCACACATACTGACATGGACATGGACATGGACCTTTATACAAGTATCCTTGCTTCTTAGCCCGTAAGAAATCTTCATTTAAACTACTTCTCATGATAATCTCATCTTCGCTCTTCCCTCTAGATTAGAAAATAGACAGCATAACAATTATTTAATCTGTAATATAAGACCAAGAGTTCAAAGAAATACATATAAATTGATGACTGTGATCACTATAGTTACTATGTGCATTTTTCCAACAACTTGAGGTGCCCCAAAATTTCACGCAGACTGAGTTGCCTTCAACAGATATAGGGGGATTTGAAGCAAATTTAGAAGCACAAAACGGAAGCGCAAGGCCTTAGCAATGATTGTGTTCCCTTCCCCCTAATTTAAATAAAAGAAGAGAAAAAAAATTGTAGGTCACTTATCTCTTCAAATAACTACCAATCCCTTCATAAGTCAGGCTAGGAATCTTGGATAGAGGACCAAAGAGACTTAGCTATATTCTACAAAGCAATGAACAAACAATTAACCCACTATTTAAGAAAACCACTTTCCATTTAATTTTTCTCTAAAGTGCATTACAAGTAATGGTCCCTGTACTGTTACACGATTAAGTAACACCGCCATGATAGAGCAATAATTCCAGACGTATTGGACGTAACAATATAGGCTTCCAAGAAGCCTTCACGAAACAGCCTACTTTTAAATCTAAGACTTATAAGTTCTGCCAAGCTTCAAACCATCTACCAAAATGAATAAATAAAGTTCAGCCTTAGATTTACCAAGTAAACCAGACCAATTTAAGTCAGGAAAATGAGGAAATTTATAAAATGTAACAAGAGAGAAGATGCACTTCACCAAGAATAGTTTGCTAGGTTCTAGAGAATTAGATAACACCGAAGTGTCATAGAAATGGTTCAAGAGACAAAGCCAATGAGGATTGAGTAATGTAATGAGACCAGCAAATTCAATCAAGGCAAGCTATTTGCATTCTCCCCACCATTTTATACCCCTTTAACAAATAGTGCATCACCTGCTATACCTCCTAAATTTAACTTGTTTTATTTGTTCTTAGTTTCCTTTACAGATTATTTATACATCTTAAATTTAAACTTGTTTATTTCTTCTTACTTTCCTTTTCAGATTATACATATACATCTATACACAAACACTCACACATACGTAACTCATTGAAACTTTTGTCATCCATAGGACCATAATCCTCAGACATGCTATGCAACAATAAGTTTCTATGCATTGCCAATGTTCAATGACCTCTTTATCACATATCTATCTGAATTCCAACTAAAAATTAACTTTCAACAATATATATAAATGCAGATTAGAGTGTGCGCGCGCGCACTCTTTCCAACTAAAAGAATCTAATGCATTGCATACTAATATGATTGTCTATACAATGATCGAATATTATAACCTAATGTTAAAAGGAGATGCAGAATTAAATTTTTGAACTCCTGAGATGTGCAAGTAGTTTAATCAAACTTTAATGATACAATTCAGAAGTAGTGGTCAAGCAAAGTCTCTCCTTTAAGATAATTAGCTAACTATAATGAGAGTGCACCAGTTGCAATTTAAACATAGAGTGCAAAATAGAAGATGGACGTTAACTCAAGTGTTTCAAGCAAAGGCTCTAAAAGACATATACCTGTTGCACAAGAAGTTCCCAAAGCGACAAGAGAACACAGAGTCCAAGAAATCTACGAGGAAAGCCTGCATCACAATAAGAGAGTCAGCAAGCTGCTCCTCAACAGCCTAATATATAACAATTAGCTATTTCACAAAAAAAAAATAAGTTTCACATATAGGAAAATATGACATTCGCATACAGAATAAAGATTCATACCGAGGAGAATTCAAAAGCGAAAGGATACATCCGCAACAATTGTGAAACACAATCAACCCACTGCAGAGGGAATTCAAATACTACATCAATTAAATTGCCAGTAAACATAGTGAAACACAATGAAATATTCAAATTATTGTCATTTTCAAATTTGATCAGGTGTTGCACCTAATATTAATTCTTGGCATGATCCCAATGGGAGAAATAGTATGATGAAATCCAATGATGAATTTCAATCGCGAAGGGGGTTTCACAGACACAAGTTGTGCAGAAAATGAGTAAACCATTCTTCTGGCTGGAGCTCTATGATTTCAAGTAGTAACCTTTATGCTCAGGAGTGGACCCAGGAATTTTCACTTGGGGAGTCCATATTCGAAATATTGGTATGAAAATAAAAGTGTAGTTATTATTTATTTATTTTACAATAAAAGCCTAAGCACATAGTCCTAGCATAAAAGAAGATCTAAAAAAGTTATTTATAAACCAAAACTATTTTATTTTATAATCCCTCAAATATATAAAATTGGAAGAGGAGGGATATTAGTTATATTAGAGTTTTCTGGCATTCTGTCAGAATGTGGTATTATTTTTGGGAAGGTAAAAAGGGTACCTGAAGGGGAGGGGTGGGTGTTGTTAGTCCCTACAAGTTTTGTGATGGTCAGTTTGGTATGAGGGACAGAATCCAAAGGACAGGAACATAGGGAAGATGAAAGAGGTATCCGTACGAACCCGGCACTAAGCAACCGCTCAACTTCAGTATTGCATGATTTCACAATCACTCTTTTAAAAAAATATTTCATTTTCCTCTGAAGGGCAAAAAAATGTATAATGCAGTATGTGAAGTAACTTTGCAACAAATTCTCCTTTTTAAATTGGATTATCTCTATTCTTCAAAGTAATAGCTTATTGATTGCCTGAATCTATTCAGCATCTAAAATAGTCATTATCAGTATCAGTACTGTTTCTTTTCTTTTTTCTTCTCCCCCCCCCCCCCCCCCCCTACTTTTCCCTTCCCCTTCCCCTTTTTTTAAAAAAAAAATTAGCATCTCCACTTTCAACTATTGTCTTTCCAGTTTTTTCTGAAAAGGAACTTCATGCATTAAGTGTAAATTAACACTCGACGTTTCTGATTCTTCTTATAAGTTGTTCTGGTCATTGATTCCGTAGTTTTGAGCTGTAAGGTTTTTTATGTTTCACGTATATTATCTATAAAAATCATTGACCAAGCCTCAAGTTTTATATCATTTTTGAAAGTTCCAAATAACAAACTTGTGGGTTTGTACCATGTGGTCAACTCCGTATAGTTTCATCTAAATCATGACATATTATGTTCCATTTTCCATTGTATCGATCCATTTTAATGAATTTTCATTATTTTGTATGGTCATCAGCATCAACATTAATAATTGAATCTAGATTCTAAACAAATCCAACAACACCAACTCTCGAGGCCTTCCTCACGTTGTGTCACTGATGAATGCAGTAGGGTCAACAGAAGAATAGAACTAGCGATGGCCTCGCCTCCACCTCCAAGGGGGACAAAGGCAAGGGAAGAGAAGAAGAGAAAAAAAGAAGAAAAAATTTGTTAATTCTAGATTTGAATAATAACGGATGTCAGCTTGTCCTACACAGCTGTATCTCATAACAAGAGGCCAATGTGAACTAAAGCAACATCTGCAAAGATCTAAATCTTGACTACAATGACATATCAACCAGTTCAGATGGACCTATTGGATATATCTTGACCATAAGACATATCAACCAGCAATGATGGACCTACTGGATGGACGTGTAATCAACAGTTATACACATGCAAGCTCAGACACACAAGGTAAGTTTAAGCAGTGTTTTGAAACTACCACTGCCTTCATCCTTAGATAGTTGTCCACTTAGAACAAGAATGACCTTTTAGGAAATCTCTGTCAACACATTCACATTACTGAGTACAGATAACCAATATGCACCCCAGCTCTGAATATCTTTAAAGGGTGAAAAGTTACTATAAGGGGTCATCATCATCATCCTTGCCCTTGTCCCATACGAATGAGGTCAACCATATGAATTATTTTTTTCTATTCTTTCCTATTTACACCAATTTTCTTCTAATATTTAATTTTTTTAAATCTTTTTTTTTTTTTTTTTGGATAAGCAAGCATCAAGTATTTTATTTTTTAAATGATTTTAAATTACTTCATCCCATGTGAGTTCTGATCATCCTCTTTGTCGTTTACCTTCTATGCATACAGATCTACCTCTTCTAAGTTCTAACGGAAGTATTTTATTAAATGTCTTTTTGAAGAGAACAACAAATTAGGGACATCCAGAAAAGGAAATGTGAAACTATAATTCAGGTATTACATGAAATCCAGCTGCACTGATGGTAGCAACACACTACTCTGACACACGCATGACGCACCTGTAAAAATATGGGAGAATAGTTGTTTAAATTTTGAGCATGTGAAGTATTTGGAGCTTGAGATGAGCTTGATCCCGATGCTTGTCGCTGAGGAGACGGTGGGAAACTCCCAACGGAAGATGACCTAGATAATTCAAAAGGCATGTTACCACTTCCAGATATAGTTGGCATTGCCACGCGATCTGAAAACGGATGACCAAATGCAAGCCAATCTTTTTCCACAAGTGCCTGTATTTATAGAAGGAAAAATAAATAAAGTACTTGAGCAGATTCAACTAAGTGAAATCATGCAAATCCTACAAGGTAAGAACACTTGGGGTGTCTGTCCTTGACAAGATATGATATATGAAGTGCCCAACATGGCAACCTCAGATGAAAATGAATTGCAAAGTGGGTTATCAGCTAACAAAACATGCCTGAACACAATTTTGAGTTTGCAATGGCCAGAAAAGAAAAGGAAAAAGAAATGAGAGTGCGCTCAGCAACTGGAGTATATATGAGTGTCCATAATACACTAAACCATAATCCAGAGCTTCTTGCCCCAACAAAATCACTCTTTAATGCTCCTATCTAAAGCTTAAGGAAAGGTAAAGAATAAACTTAAGACAGGCATTAAAAATATATATATCTAATAATATCTGATTAATACCTGAAACCCCTTAAATGTCCGGTAATATGGATCAAGCAACAAGCTAGCAAGTGAGACCAACTGAGTAGTTCTATCCCAACCATCACTGCACAATAGAAATTCATATCACTGGGTAAACTGAAAAAGCCATAGGCAATTCAGTGTAGTAATAATCGTACCGCAAAGTGGAAACCTTTATTGCTAAGTAATTTTAAAAGGCTGTAGGCGTTCAGCCTAGTAGTAGAAGTTTTTAGGTAGTAGTGGTGAAACAACAAGGAGAATAACAATAAAAATAACAACAACATAAATAACAATATCAAGGGTAATAACCATAATGAACAAATAAATGAAATGAAATAAAATAAAACAAGTATAGACTGCTTCATACTGATGAGCGGACACAATTATGATAGAAGATAGTACAATCTCTTTACCAAGTGAAGATATTATGCGAACTAAGCTGCTGCAAACCTCTGAATGAAGCAGCAGATAAAATACAGACGAGAAACAATGAGTAGAAATATAATAGAACTGCATAAAAAAGAGCAACACCAACTAATTAACAAACCACTTTACATGGACATGGATATGTGTGCCGGGTGAGACTATGTGTCTAAGCATCAGATTTATAAAATCTCCAACCCAAGGAGATCGGAACATGGCAAATATTCAAATTGCTCGTAATTTTTTTACATTTTAAGGAGAAATAATATTTTCACCCATTTTGAAGAAAAGGAAAATAGCAAAAGAGTTCTAATGTATAATTATATAATCAATTTGAATTATTGGACATGCTTGTTAGGTGCATGTCCAACCATACATGTCGGACATATATCCCATACCCTTCATGCATTTCTGAAGAGTCCATTTTACATAGATAATAAATATATAACCACAGATATATAGATTTGTCAGGGAATCAAACAAGAAATTTTGGTAATGAAGAATGTATGAACTATTATTTTTGTTGCTGAATCAATCACCTCAGATTAGCAATTTGTCTTCATTTTGTACACCTCATTCTCCCTGGTTGTTAAATTAATTTTTCAAATTAGATCAACTACATTAGCATGCATACATATGTTAATGATAAAAAAAGCTAGAGATACATATATACACACATATATATTACCATACATCTATCAATATTTATTATCATAGGCATGCAAAATTTTTGGTGCGAGTCTTGCTCAAAGTAAACTTAGAATTTTGCTGATTTAGTACTCTTAGTTCTGTTGTGCACTTAAGTGACCCAGAACAAGAACCTTTTTCATTACATTTTATTTATATTTATTAAATAAATGAGACATAATGACTTGAAACTAAGGTATCACAGCATTGGAGGATGAATTGTTTCAGCTTTCAACTCATGCCTTCACCATCTGAAACATACTTTTAGATAAAAAATTAAAAATCCTATAGATGAAATTCACCTCTGTACAACATAAGCACATTGCATAACTGACGCATTATTCAAAATTGAAATTTAACAAAATAAACAAAAACATGTATAGTAAAAAGAAAGAAAAAATAATTACGGACCGAACATTTAAACATGACATTCAATCATAACATTAAATTCAGAAATCAACAATGGAAAAGTTAGTTAGTTTAGAAATTGTCCTGTATATATAACTTTGACCATTATTATAGAGGCAGCAAAAGAGAAACTTAATCCGACTATCACTATAATTAACAAGACAAAAGTATAAAAGATGCTGACCTGCAATGAACAAGCACTGATGCTGATTCAAGAGCAACGCGTGCAGCAATCCAAGCAGAACCAGCCAAGACAGTTTGAACGTGTATTAACCAACCACTATCTCCAAGGGTTGACACTGAAGCAGACATACTGCTGAGATTGCCTCCACCCCAAGTCCATCCACCATGTCTCTGTAACACGAAGCTCATTAATGATGACACGAGTCACACAACCATGATAATTATGCAAAAGTTCTGAAAGAAAGAAAGCTTCAGAGTGTTGTTCATCTCTATTGTGAGTATAGTCTCAATCAACATGAGAAATAACTTGAATTGATAATTAATTCAACAACGACAAAATTGTAGCAATTATCGAGGAATTAAATCCATGAGCCATACAATGAAACTATGGGAAAGAGTGATAGAACAAAAATACAAGGATATAATCCACAAAGTCTTGATTCCCAATTTTGATTTATGCCAGAAAGATTCACAATGGAAGTCATTTAATTAATTAGGCAATTAGTTGAAGACCATAGGAGTAAACTAAAAGATTTACAATGATTTTTATAGACTTATAAAAAGCATATGATAGGGTACCGAGAGAGATAAAGATTATGATTTTTATAGACTTATAAAGATTATCCAAGATGCTTACAGGAATAGAGAGACTAGAACCCGCTCTACATATCACTAGATTAGTGATTTTTCTATACATGTAGAATTGCACTAACGATCGATCAAAATTAAATACGTATCTATTACAATAATTTTAGATGAAATAACAAGAGACTTACAAGGAGACATTCCATAGTGCATGATGTTTGCAAATGACTTTGTATTACTGGATACTTCTAAGGATAACTCAGTAATAAAATTAGAAATCTAGAGAATGCATTAGAGTCCAAAGGCTTAAAAATTAGCAATAATGAAAAAGGATAGAAAGAGAGATGATGTGAGGGAGACTAACTAGTAGTGTTTTATGTGATAAAAGAATATCAAATAAGTTAACAGGAAAATTCTGCAAGACAGTTTATTAGGCTAGATATCTTATACGGAGCAGAGTGGTAGGCTTTAAAAAAGAAACAAGAACAAAACTATAGCTGACATGAGAATGTTAAGATGGATGGTAGGAGTGACTAGAAACAATAGGATCACTAACATAATTATGAGGGAGATATTAAGAGTGACACCTATTAGAGCGATATGATAAGAGAAACTAGATTCAGGTAGTATGGACATTTACAATGAAGTCTTGTAGATGCACCATTAAGAAAAGGAAGATTAGTTTTCATAGAAAGGTGACAAAGAGGCCGACCAAAACTAACATGGGATGAAGATATTAGAAATCAATTAAAAAAGTTAAATATAATAGGAGAAATAGCTTGTAATAGAAAAGAGTGGAAAAAGAGTATTCATGTGTGGTTACCCCCAATCATATGGAATTGAGGCAAGAATGATGATGATGGTGATGATGATGGTTAATTCAACAAGAAAAAGATTAGATAAAAAGCTCAAAATAATACACATCCACTTATCAAAAAGAAAAGTAAAAACAAGCCATTGCTGTTTTAGCAGGAGAAATATGATCATTTATTGTTAACCTATCAAGATCACTTGCGTCCCTGGTTCTCAATAAATAGCAATAATAGAATCAGTTCCCTTCCATACTTTCTTCACAAGTATGATTTTTTTTGTTTTTTGTTTTTGTTCTGAGAAAGCTTAACGAGGCAAAGAACCAAACCCTGAAGATACACAACACTGAAGACAACCAATGAAATATCAATTCACGTACATTTAGGAATATATATATATATATATATATATATATATATATATATATATATATCAATTCACGTAGAATTACAATACAGCCTACCTCATGCAATAAATTTAAATAAAACTCTCTCCTCTTAAGAATATTAATTGAATGTAGAATGTATCTCATTACTGATAAAACACTTTCCAGAACTTTATGATAATTGCAAAACATACCAAGAATGATGACATTCCATCTGAAGAAGTGGCACCATGAGTATCTAAGCAGTCTCTAAGCCTACCAAGACTCTCTCTCATTGCATGTATGTTGTCTACCCCAAAGAAAACTATCTGATAACAAATTTCAAGGAAGGAACATGATTAGATGGTATTAGCATATTAAGAGATACCAATTCTTTTGGCAGTGTAACCCAAGACAGACCTCAGAGTGAAAATAATTGGAAGAGGACTCTGAACCACCTCCCATTGCTCCATTTGCTAAAGCATTTTTTCGAGGTCTTGCATCAGCAATATATAGCTTCCTACAACAACAAACCATGTTATAAAGCCCACAGTACCGTAAGAAATAATTTTCTAAAGAACTCCACTTTATTCCACAGAACACAGAGTTCTGAAAGAAATCAAACCGTACAAGTAAGGTTTATAAATATGTTGATAGTTATTTTAATAAATAAAAAATAAGAAAAGAATCCTTGAGAACAAAACCACCAAAATCTTTTTGCAAATTGCACTTATCTAGATTAGGCGAGAATAAATACATAATCAGTTTAAGTTATTTTACAATGAGAGGGGTAAAGTTCAAAGCAGAAAATTGGCAACCAACAAAGGTCATTACCCAGTGTGATTAATTGAAAAAATATATACATATATATGTCTATATATATCATTAGAGAGGAGAGATAACCAACTTAGATAAAAATTGAGAACTGAAAAGGTCAAAGTAAAAATAAAAATTGTATATAACAAATAAACCACAAAAGAGAGGGGACGGAGGGGAACCATGAATGAATGTAACGAATCAAGAAAAGGATAACATGAAAAAGTAAAACACATGTTTACCTTCGCGGCTTCCTTGCATCAAAAAGTTGAGTGCAAAGTGCAGCTACAAGCTTCTCATCAGCATTGCTACATGCAAAGGTACAAAATTGTATTAAAACGACTCATCCAGACATAAAAGGAAATTTACACCTAATTCCAGACCTTTGTAATCACAATTTCATAATAGTCATGATTTAACCTGTACAGTTTGAGCAATCATGTAGGTTAGGGTGCAACTTGGGTGGGCCAAGCCAGACCCACCAAGCCCAACCCAAAATTTTCACGGGCTTGGGCAACCATTTCTACAATTAGGGTTGGGCATGGGCTGAAAAATCTCAACCCAAATTTAAATAGGGTGGGGCTCGGGTTGAGGTGTGAGCAATCCGGATCCAACCCGAACCTGTATTTTAGCCTGACTTTTATATTTTATTATTTTAAATATAGTATATATACTTATAATTGTGATCAACTTTTTTTTTTTCCCAGTTTCCTCGTCTTTTACTTCTTAAATTATTGTATATTAATACCTTGAAAACTGAATTTCTTGAGAATTTGTTTACAATTTTTTGGATTTTTAATGCGAGGAGAAATAAAACATGAGATGGAATGAATTCAACCCAATTTTCTAACCCAGACTCAACCCGAGTTCAATAATTTTAACGTGGGTTGGAAACTAGGATTGAGCTAGAGTTGGGAAGCTTCGGTTGAATGTAGGGTTGGGCTGGGCAGGGTTGAGGGTTTTATAGTTTTTACCTTCAGTTGGGTCGAGCCTGGTTTGACCACTCAACCAGCCCAACTCACCCTAGTTACACCCCTAGAGCAGCTTAAACCTAATATACAGAACATTACCTCCTCATATTCATCATGAGACCAACTAATGGTTGGGATGACCTTGCAAGAACAGCTCCAGTTTCTATAACTCATCAGAGAAACAAGACATCAGCATGGAGGTCAAGATAAAAAAATTAAAAAGATCATTAAAAATGGGATGTAATATCTACTTGGATGACACCATGAAATCACAGGCAAGCGACACCGTGCACGAAAGGTGGAAGCCTGAAGCACTTCTTCATCACTGACATCAGCAGCCCAGCATTGTAATTAGGAGCACAGAACTAGTGTAATGAGTAAATATTCCTGTAAAATCTCAACTACCATTTGCAAGCTAAAAAAAAAATAAAGAAGTAAAAATGGATATCAAATGCCTCACCTAATACATTGAGGAACAAGCAAAGCAAATGGATAAGTTGGGCACATTGTATAGTTGGAATTTATGGCACTGATTCTCCAACACTCATTAGACAATGTGAATGAGACGTCTTCAATAGTACTAACTGAAGCATAATGCGAACCCATCCCAAGAAGCCGGAAGTACTCATCTAGTAATCGCACCTTAGGGTTGGTGTTATTGAATCTGGAAGTGCCAGAAGTAAAAGCATAGAGATCCCATAGGCTTGCCGGCTTTGTCCACCTCACTAATGCATCAAATACAGCACGCCTCTGTAAATTCATAGTCAGCTGCGTCAATACTATATAATCTCTAACATGAACACTTCAATGTTTTCAACTTACGAAGGACAACAATCAAAAATTAATTGTGATTAATTTGATAGTAAAATAAAAACTGCAATGTGTTTACATTGAGGTTGAAAAGCAGGATAATGTCGGCAATGCATCAAGTTGGTAAAAACCAGAGTGATTAATACTATCAGATTTTCTGAACCAAATGACACAAATACAAGAAAGAAAGGCAAGTGATTAGAAAGAAAGGCAAGTGATTAGAAAGAAATTGAAATTTTTATAATTACTACACTAAATTCATATTTTGTGAGATTACCTTCATTTAATATGATGTCTAATTGAAATAAAAAAATCTTTCTTACAATTAAATACAAGATACTTTGTTGTGATGATATAAATTTTACTACAAAAAAAAAATGGACATCAAATAGGGATATGATCACATGACAACACACAAATAACCACATAAAAATAAATAGATAAAAATTTAAAAATCAACATAATGAAGCATTCGGCCTGAGATCATGCACTGAAATCACAATCTCCAACTCATGGGTGCTTTTAGACAGCAGAAAAGGCAACATCAAGGCAACAAACTTCTCATAATCTTCAACAATAACACAATTATGAAAAGGAAAACTTCAAAATAAATAAAACAAGCAACTAAAAATAAAAGACAAGGAAAAAACACTCATTATTTGGAATCAAATGACAAAGGTAAAGAATACCAACAAAACCATATTACATATGACACATGAATTATTAATACAAGATAATTCGTTAGTGATGTACTCGCAGCCATTGGACTGTGGTCACAAGCAGTTGTGTACAGGATATACCAGCATGTTATTAGTAAGTAGAATAGGTATTTTAACATCCAGAATTGACCTTTACTCTACTAGAGAGACACCATATGCCAGTATACCAGTAATGGCAAACCTGAATCCACAATGTTCTATAACTTGTTTTTTATAAGTTTTGCCTCTAATATTTTATTTTCTTTTGGATAAGTTGCTTTAATATTTTATTATTATCTAACATCAGGATCAGAGCACCACCAAACACTTTCCTACTACGAAAGTGATAAAACACTTGACGATAAAAAATAATGTACTTAAGCTCATCCCCAGTTAGAAGGGGAAAAAATGAGTAAAAAAGATATATTTGGATTTGTGCCAAGAAAAGCTACACGAGGTGATGTCTCACCATCTAAACATAATTCTAAGATAGGAAGGATAGTTTCTGCTTGAGAGTTTTAGGACTTATTATTTAGACTCTGGAGGAGGAGAATGTTAGCATGGACAGAATTATAGTTGTAAACTAATAAAAGTTTGTTTTCTTCCTTTTTACTTAGGCGCAAAGCTTTCCAAATTTGGGCATGCTTCATACTTCACCAATCAAAAATATATGTTAAGAATGTAAGTTAACATATAACACCATACCGGAATGTGTTCCATTAAAAATTAGAAGTAGATAAATTTATCACATTTGACCTGCTTTGTTTGAGGGCGAAAACCAAAGACAATAATTCTCATATCTTTTCCTGCAAAATACAATAGAAAAGTTGCCCATTAATTTCACTTGCAAACAACAGAAAGAACTAATTGAATTGTAAAACATAGCATATGCCAAAGCTTGTACACATGATCCACCAAACTAACTAGGTAAAAGAATTAATGAATAACATAAACTAACAGCCATTCTCAGTAATTATTTTTGATAAAAAAATAGGATTGCATGCACCGTAGACAGGTTTAGCATCAAGGATTCAAGTCTTAACAAAAGGCACAATCAATTTTTCATGGAATTTTATTGCTGACATAGTTATGATAAAATAAAATATAAAATAAAAAATAACTCAATAAAATCGAGAATCATCTGAGGAAAACTGTACTTGTATGGAGTGGAAAAACATTTCATTTGATTCTGCAGAAGTACATCCCAAATTCTCAATACAAGATTACAGAATAACCAACACAGTTGCACCATATTCTAGAGGCTAAATGGTATCATGTGATTATTTTAAAAAACATATCAATATATACACCTGTGACCTAACACAAGGATGAATAATGCGAACTTGTGTTAAAGACATTCACATAAGAAACTTAAACATAAAATGGTACAGTGTGTTTTAGATTAAAGGTGGGAAGTTTAAAAAATTCCATTTGTTTATGGGAATCAGAACAACAAAAAGGATGATATTGAATTGAGAGTCCACCGTGAAACCAATACTTCTAAACCCTTATATTGGGTATGAGCAAGGAATATAAATACAGTATTAGCTAAACAGCACCAAATTCATCTCCAAACTGGCTCCACCAAACCACAATATAGCCACTCCCTCCACCGCAGCATCACTGCATTCTCCTTCACCGCCATACAGCCGCCAACACCATCACCACAAGATTGTTGCTGCCACCACCATCACCACAAGATTGTTGCTGCCAACACCGTCCGGTAGCCATGAAAACTGTGCTAATACCACCTATGTCTACACAACCAATTTCTTTTTCAGCATCATTTTCTCTGGACCTTAAATTCCACCTCCACCATACCAATATTATTAACACCCAACCCACCAGATGAAAATTACAGCAACTCTTATCCTTTTCCTTTTTAATGTTTCAGGTGCTCAGGAAACATGAAAACAGAAGGCCCAACAAACCCATTCAAGACAAACAGTTACATTTATAAAATCAAAATATTGATCATCTCCATAAAAAGGTGATCAATAAGGATGTATTGTGACTTTATGCTGACTTCTCTTTCTATTCTCTCTACCCTCTCTGACGCCGGAGTCTTTCACTCTGGCGTCTGTTGATTTTCTCTTTTTCTGTTGTCGGATCTCTGGTTCTTTGGTAGGGATTCGTGATATGCTACAGTCGTATCTCAAAGTGGCGACTCTACCACGCCTCAATCTCCATGGAGAGATCAAAAGCTGTACAATCGGCAAAGACATGGTTTTTAGGGTTGATCGCCAAAGCATAATAGAACAAGAATCTATTCTGAAATCTTGTTTGGTTGGCTGTTTTGATCGAGATGTGGGGTGTATTGAGGGGATTGAGGCATGGGCGACGAAGGCTTGGAAGGTATCGTGTGGGGTAAAGGTTTCATCCCTACCTGACGGCCTCTTTTTGTTCGGGCTACCATCAGAGGTTGAAGCACGAAGGGTTCTGGATATAGAGAGAAAGAGATGGGGAGACGCTATTTTATCCATCGATATTTGGTATTTCGCGGTGGGTTGTTCAGCAATGAAAGACTGAGAAAGGATAAGAAGGGTGATGATGTTTGGCTTGCCCCTTCATCTCTGGTGCCACAAGCTGTTTGAAGCCATAGGAGATTTATGTGGTGGATTCAAAGGTGTGGAGGCGGATGATCTAGTGAGTGGTGAGAGAGTTCTTCTCTATGTTTCTGTCGGAGAGGCGGTGCTGGAGTTTGTCTTCGTTGAAGACCAGCGAGTGGCCTTTAAGGTCAACTTGATAGAGGAAATCTCACCTTATATCCTTCCGAAGTCTTATTATGGTGTCGATGAGGGTTCCCACCTCATGTCTGTTGAAACGAACAATAGTGGCCGTCGCCGACAACTGCAGATCCATCTTGGCCCCCAAGGACAAAGACGAGTGTTTGTCAAAACGCCGGCAGCGAGTGGGGAAAGCAGACCCACGAGTCGTACCCTTTAAATCTTCGTTATGATCGCCTTAATGGATACCAACCACGTGGACGGGTACGTGGCATCACAGGCGCCTCTCAAGCAATGGTCTCTGATGGGCCCAAGTCTGGGCCTGATTTGTGTTATGGGCTTGCCAAGCCTATGAATAACGGGCTGTTAGTAAGTCATGGGCCACAGGCCACAAAGGATTTTGAGAGGACTGTAACGTGGCCGGCAACCACTTATCCATCTCCTTTCTGAATGACAAGCCCAGCCCACAGACTCTGCTCAAGCCCAGCCACAATGATTTCTTAGATAAGTCCAGTAATGGGCCACAAGAGCTTACAGATTTAAAAAGAAAGGTTACTTGGGGGCCAATAACCTGATCTCTGTTTCTTTTCTAAACACCAAGCCCAACCCATCTATTTTTACAGAACCCAGCAATACTGAACATCCACAGCATCATCTTCTTCACAGCACTTCTGCAAATAAATCATGGACTTCGCTGGAGAAGAGGAGATGGATGAAATTCAGCGAAGACGAGGCTGGTGTAAGCATAGATGAGAAGATTTTTTGTCATACTTAGTGTTGCGCTGATATATCAAAAATGTCTTTTCCCGTCACTGCATTGCCGAAGGGAAGACTCTCTAGATTTTCATCTCGGGACTCCCATAGGCATCGCCATGGTAATAGATAGTCTAGAAAAGATAAACAGAAGTGGACTCGCACTCCTTCTACTAACAACCCGGGAATGTCCTCTGCTTTTCACCCTCGGAGCTCTCTTGCTGCTCCTTTTTCTTCTTCTACTCCTCCTTGTGGGGTGTTGAAGAGTGATGTTGAGACGGCAACGGAGAAGAGCAGTGTGTTATCAGTTTTGCCTTCGGCACCTGAAGTTGAGCATGGTTTGATTACGGAAGGGAAGGCTGCCTACGGGTCTGTTATTTCTAGGCATGTTGACCCAGCTGATTGAGCAGTTAAGGACTCGCCTGAGGGGGTTACGGTCTGTGTGGGGAGAGATCTTCATTTTCAGCTGTCTAATGATTCGGTTGTGGCTGTGCTCAAAGAGCTCCGCCTGTGTGTAGCACATGCAGGGGTAGAGGAGAATGAGTCTGTTAGATTCTTGAGTAATGGAATGGGTGACTATGCTACAGATTCGAATACGATGATTGAGCCGCCTGTAAATGGAAGAGATAGTGAAGAGGAGGTGACTGATGACCTGGTTTCCATCCAACAGGTTTGCTCAAATGAGCTTGTCCCTTGGCTGGAGACTGACTATTCAGACTTGATAGTGGAGGAACCATTGGTTGTTATGCGACCTAGTTGTTCTGGAACAGCTGCTGATATGGGAAAGGATTGGGTAGTCGCAAATACAAGAGTTACTAGTGAGCTGTTTGGTGTCTCATCAGAGGGTAACAGCGACCAAGACATTATCCACTCTTCAAGCAATAATGGAAGGAAGAGAGGTTGCAGTGACTAAAGAGATTGTGAACACGAGGCCTTTATCGTCCTGGAAAGGGGCACAGGAAGTCAAGAATCTTATCTTTTATGTCAATTATGAAGGGAAGAGAGGGGAAGGACTAGAAGCAGGAGTATAAGGAAGGGAGGAGGGGAGATAATCTTATCTGGTTCTTAATGAAGCTACGAATCATTACTTGGAATGTTCGTGGTCTTAACGATCCGAACAAAAGGAGGGTGGTAAAGGTAACTTTAAGGAAGTGGGGAGCCCAGGTTGTTTGTTTGCAAGAAACCAAGTTGGCATCCATTTCTGATGGGGTGGTTAGGAGTTTGTGGGGAGGAAGGTCTGTGGGATGGGAGTACTTTGGGCGGAATTTTAGTTATATGGGATTGTAGATAGCTGTCTAGGATGGACGTGTGGATGGGGAGATTTTCTGTGTCATGTGTGATTAAGATAGAAGAGGAAGGAGTAATCACATAGGACGAATTCGGGTGGATGGTGTGGAGTTGAGGAAGGAGGAAGTGGTGTGTAATGGGATCGTTTCTTTTTATCATAAGCTTTATACCGAGTCGTTAGCTTGGAGACCTTAACTTGATGGTCTCCATTTTGAGGCTATTTCTGAGTTGGATAGAGATGGGCTTGAGATAGACGAAATTCTAAAGGCTTTATCAAGTTGTAATGGGGACAAAGCTCCAGGGCCTGATGGGTTTACTATGCGCTTTCTGATGGAAAGTTGGGCGGTAGTGAAAAATGAGGTGATGGATACATTTTAGGAGTTTCATTCTACTGGCGTCTTTAAGAAGTCACTAAAGGCCTCATTCATTGCCCTTATCCCTAAGAAGGGAGGCACTTCTGACATTAAAGATTTTATACCAATTAGCCTAGTGGGTTGTATTTACAAGCTCATGGCTAAGGTTCTTGCTTTTAGGATAAGGGATGTAATGAATGGGATTATCTCAGATTCCCAGAATGCTTTTGTCGGAGGACGGCTAATACTAGATTCAGTTCTTATTGCAGGCGAATGTGTAGATTCCAGATTGCGAAGTGGTGTTCCCGGAGTCTTATGCAAACTTGACATTGAAAAAGCGTATGTCTTTTGTCTGTCAAGTTCTCTATTCTTATGAACAGGTCTCCTGCTGGTTTTTTGGGGTGTACCTAGGGTTTAAGAGAAGGAGATCCTTTGTTGTCTTTCCTTTTTCTAATTGTTATGGAGGGCTTAAGCAGACTTATGAGAAGGTCAGAGGATCTCGGTCTTATAAAGGGATTTAGGGTGGGTAGAGATCTAGTCTATCAGGTGGAGATCTCTTATTTACTTTTTGCGAACGACACCCTGGTTTTCTGTGATGCTGATGTGTCTCAACTTAGATATTTGAGGTGCATCCTGGCCTATTTTCAGGCGGTTTCTGGGCTGAAGGTCAACGTGGCTAAGAACGTGCTTGTCCCGGTAGGGGATGTTCAGGATATTTCCTCTTTAGCTGCAGTCCTTGGTTGTAAGGTGAGTTCTTTTCCCATTCCTTATTTGGGTTTGCCTTTAGGAGTTTCCTCTAGAGGAGTGGGGAGTTGGGACCCTGTTATTGACAGGTATATAAAGAGATTGGCAGGATGGAAGAAGCAATATTTGTTTAATGGGGGCAAAGTTACTCTTATAAAGAGTACTTTATCGAGCCTTCCCACATATTTTTTTTATCTATGTTCCAAATTCCATGTTCTGTTGCTGATAGGATTGAAAAAATACAAAGGGATTTCCTTTGGGGTGGAAGGGACGAAGTGTTTAAGTATCACCTTGTCAGATGGGAGCAAGTTTGCAAGTCCATGAAGTTGGGTGGTCTTTTTTTTTGATAAGTAAAATATATTAGAAAGACGTTCAAAAGGGGGAACGCGTCCTTAATATACAAAAACGAAAGAGCAAAAGCCAAACCTATGGACCAACAGAGTCCAATAGAACAAAAAAGTCATCGATCGAGGAGCAAGCGCTGCCTCTGACATAACAGAAAAGAGAGCATAGGATAAAAGACTTGAGGTTTGCAAAAGACGATTCCTTCCCTTCAAAGTTTCTGTTATTTGTCTCTCTCCAAAAACACCACCAAACACAATGTGGGGCGACCCTCCAAAAATCACAAGCATGACCAGAAACAGGGCATCTTCTCCAAGTATTAATTAATTGGAAAGAGTGCTTAGGCATTACCCACTGAACGCCAAAAATACTGAATATGAGATTCCAGCAATCAGAAGCAACAGGACAATGCATAAGAAGATGGTCCACGGACTCACCATCATTTTTACAAAGACAGCACCAATTAACAATGGTATTACCTCTCTTACGCAGATTATCCAAAGTTAGAATTTTTCCCCAAGTAGCCGTCCAAACAAAGAAGGCAACTCAAAGAGGAGCTTTAGAGCGCCAAATACACTTCCAAGGGAAATCATATCCAATAAAATTTGACAAACACAAGAACATGAATCGAACTTCGAATCTACCATGAAAAGAGGGAGTCCACAAAATATCATCACAACCTCTGCCAACATCTTTCTGTCTATACAACAGGTCCAAAAAGGCGCAAACTTCAGCTATCTCCCAATCCTGAAAGGAACACCTAAAACGCACATCCCACGTAACTCCACTGTTATCAAGATGATAACAATCAATTACACAAGCATGCTTATTCTCGGCAATGCTAAAGAGACGAGGAAAAGAAAGAGACAACAACTGATCACCACACCATAAGTCTTCCCAAAATCTAACATACATACCATGAAGTTGGGTGGTCTTGTTATCAGGAGATTAGTTCCCTTTAATCAAGCTCTCCTGGGTAAATGGTGTGGAGATTCAGGAGGGAAAGACATCGCCCTTGGCAAAGGCTAGTTTCATGTCGGTTTGGGGAAGAGAGTGGCAGTTGGTCTACCCATCCGGTTTCTCTTATGGGAGGAGTCGGGGTGTGGAAATCCATTCAAAAATGATGGGATGTCTTCTCTTCTCACATCAGATTCAAAGTTCGTGATGGCAGATGTGTTCGTTTCTGGGAGGATCTTTGGTGTGGTGACCAGCCATTATCTCGTACATTTCCCAGATTATATAGTATTGCAGTTGATAGACATGCCTACGTAACTGACTGTTATCGGCTTGATAGTAGTGGGATTATGTAGGACGTGCACTTTCGGCGTTCATTTCAGAATTGGGAGATGGACAAGGTATGTGTTCTTTTGGATCTGTTATATCGGCAGGAGGCAGTTGGCAGAGGTAGTGATTATCTGACATGGATCCCCTCTTCCCATGGTTGTTTCGAAGTTCGATCTTTGTTCCTATGTCTATCTAACTTTGATAGCCTTGACTTTCCATGGAAGACCATTTGGCATTCTATGGCTCCAACTAGGGTGGCATTCTTATGGGGTAAGATCCTGACGATTGACAATTTGAGGAAGAAAGGTAACTATTTTGTTAATTGGTGTTGCCTATGCAAACAAAATGGTGAGTCAGTTGATCATATCCTCATGCATTGCCCCGTGGCTTACGACTGTTGGAATCTTATACTTGGTTTGTTTGGCATGCGTTGGGTAATGCCACATTCTCCTAAGGATTTGATTCATGCTTGGAAAGGATGTCATGTGAGAAGTGTACGCGATTACTGGAGAATTTTTCCACATTGCGTATGGTGGTGCATTTGGAAGGAGAGTAATAACAAAATGTTCGAAGGGAAGGAGTCGTCCACGGCGACGCTGAAACTTCATATTATTCACTCTATTTTCAGTTATGTGAAGAGGAGTTCTTGCTCCTCTTCCGATGATTTAATCATTTTTTTGGATTCTTTGGGGCCTTAGACCCCAGTTCCACTTTTGTATAAGGGAAGCGTTCCCCTTTTGAACGTCTTTTTATTTAATTCTTACTTATCAAAAAAAAATAAGGATGTATTGTTCCTGTGCCACCTCTGGCTAAAAGTAGCACGAGTCTCTTTTTCAGGGAATGTGCACAATCAAGCATTTCCATGTCTTTGTTCCTCCACGAGATCTTGATAGTGGGAGATGAAATTCTTTTAAGCATTCTCCTCACTCTCTGTTTATCATAGCAATTTCAGAACCAATCCAGTGATGACTCGTATGAAGCCTTTATTCCAGCTAGCAGTAGACCCATGAGTCCACTCAATAGCTCTTCTGTGAGGCTGGTTGATATTTCAAGACTTCAAGTTTCCCATGATGCCCCAAATTCAACTACTATTTCCATCTCTAACCTTCCACTTACACTGCAAAATCTGGAATTTCATGGGTAAGAGTCAGGCCACTACTCAAAATTCAAAAATGCCGAAGTGTGATATTGTGACCCGAATTTGGTTCCGGGTCATGTTGTCAACCCGATGATTGAGCTTAGGGTTTGGAGTGGGATTAGAGAGAACACTGAAAATTGCATAAAGACTGTGAGAGTGAGAGCTAGGGTTTGGGGGCTGAAACTTGCAATCTCTTGATTTTGCTTATTGAAATCTTTCCCTTGGACGTAGGCACAACTTGTGTCGAACCATTTGCGTCTTGTGTTGTGCTTGCTTTGTCATGTTTCATGATGGTTTCTTGGTTCGTGGCTGTTTGTCATAACACAAAGCCCAAGTTCATTTCATCATATGGGTTCAAGGTCTCTTATGCTCAACATATTTGGACCAAATAGACCTTATGGGAAATCCGGAATCAGGGAAGGATCCTACTCATTTGTGAAAGAATGGATATGGACCTATGATCACAAGACCTTATGCGAAATCCGGAATCAGGGAAGGATCCTACTCATTTGTGAAAGAATGGATATGGACCTATGATCACAAGTTCCCTCCAGCATGAGAATGCTTTGAGCATCAGAACTATCACTGCCACATATTGGACATCGCAAGTTTGCCACAACCACCTCCACCTCCACCAACAGCCACCATTAACACACAAATCGCCTCCACCCCAAAATCCACCCATCATCACCACCACCACTACTAATTCCATGGTAAACCCCAACAGCAAGACCAACACTACTAACTCTTAGCCTCTTTGTGTCAACTTCACTCTCAAAAACATCCACCACCAACTATTAACACCTCCTACACTGACATCATAACCAGCACCTCCTCCAAACAGTAGGCGTTTATATTCCAAAAGTTAAAATTCAATAGAATTCCTTTACTACTTTTATTCGCTATCTACCAAGCACATCCTAATATAAATTATTGAAATCCCATTTGGCAATCGATTAGACAAGTCAAAATTAAAACCAAATTACCAAAAAAAAAACCCAGATGAATCGATTTAGTTACATACCAATGACCTGAAGAAGTCGTTGTGATGGAATCTTGTCAGACTGCCGAGGGGCTGATGGAAGCTTTACAGCCTACATCCCACAAAGTAACAAATATGCAGATTAATCACTCTATACTCAGAAACATGTAATAAAAGGTGTGTGGCATGTTTGAATAATCAAACTACTGAATAAATTTAATATTGACCAACAATCACAAATTCTCAACCTAGTTAAAAGAACAAAATGGAGGTAGATGGACAGTGATGACAGTCATCAATGTAATATATCTGTTGACAACTTTGACTTTAGAAGCATGATGACAGGCATAAATATGAAGAAAGTCAACCAAGCATGAAAGAAACAATAACAAGTGGTATTCACACTACCACAGGAAGTTATTATTCGTGTCATGTGGTGAAGCAGGGATTTTGACTTAGTTAATTTAAGTTTTTTCTTTTCTTTTCTTTTTCTTTTACTCTTTTTTTATCATGAGCTACTGAGATTAATTTTATCCAAGGGTGAGTAAAATTTCTTACAGTTTGAAAGTCTAAATAGAGATGCAATTTCTCAATTAAGTAGTATCTTCAGATTGAGAAACAGCAGCTTGAGAGCTTTGTTTGAGTGGAACTGCATTTTTTGAATCTTCTTCTTCTTCTTTAACTTCTTTTCATTCTTATTCTTCTTAGTCAGTTCTCATCTATAATCATTTTTTTCAATAAACACTATATATATATATATATATATATATATATATATATCTCCAAGGGTGGTAAAGTTACGTTAGTGAAAAGCGTCTTGTCAAGCCTTCCAACGTATTTTCTTTCGCTCTTTCGGGTTCCAGCCTCAGTTGTTGGCCGTCTGGAGATGTTACAACGAAACTTCCTTTGGGGGGGTCGTGGAGAGGAGTTTAAGTATCATCTTGTCAAATGGGAGCAGGTTTGCAGGCCTTTTCAGTTGGGCGGGCTTGGGATTAGGAGATTGGCCCCCTTTAACAGTGCTCTCCTCGATAAGTGGCTTTGGAGATTCGGCAGTGAAAGGCATAGATTATGGAGAAGGGTTATTTCCTGTCGCTTTGGGGAGGAGAGAGGGGGGTGGTCAGCTAGGCCAGTCAGGTCTGCTAGTGGAGTAAGGGTGTGGAGGGCCATTGGAAAAGGATGGGACGAGTTTTCCAAACATGTTAGATTCAAAGTTCGGGATGGAAGATTTGTCCGGTTTTGGGAGGATCCCTGGTGCGCGGATAGGCCTCTGGCTCTTTTGTTTCCAAGGTTGTTCAGGATTGCTATTGACAAACATGCTATGGTTGCTAACTGCTATCGCCTTGATAGCAGGAGGTTATCTTGGGATGTGCGATTCCGGCGATCTTTTCAGGATTGGGAGTTGGATGATGTCACTGGCTTGTTGGCTCTCTTGTACAAACAGGAGGCGGAGGGCACTGGTGTTGACTCCCTGTTTTGGGTGCACTCTTCTCAGGGGATGTTCCAAGTCCGGTCTTTTTTTGTATGCCTTTTTGGTTTTCATGGCGCTTCCTTCCCGTGGAAGACGGTGTGGTTGTCTAAGGCACCTCTTAGGGTGGCATTTTTCGTGTAGACTGTAGCTTGGAGCAAGATTTTGACTTTGGATAACTTTTTTTTTTTTGATAAGTAAAAATAATATTAAAAAAGGCGTTCAAAAGGAGAACGCGTCCCAATTACAAAAGTGGAACCGGAGCTAAGGCCCCAAAGAATCCAGAAAAGTAATTAAATCATATGAAGAACAACAAAAGCTCCTCTTCACATAATTGAAGAAAGAACGAAGAATGTAAAGTTTGACCGTTTCCGTAGGCAACTCTTTTCCTTCAAACATTCTGCTGTTTCTCTCCTTCCAAATACACCACCATACGCAATGTGGTACAATTCTCCAGAACTAGCGAACGTCTCTTCTCACTCGACAACCTCTCCAAATATGAATCAATTCCTTAGTAGATCGTGGCATAACCCAACACATGCCAAACAACCCAACAATAAGATTCCAACAGTCAATCGCCACAGGGCAATGCAAAAGGAGGTGGTTAACGGACTCCTCGCCATCCTTGCATAGACAACAGCGATTAACTATACAATTGCCCCTTTTTCTCAAATTATCAATTGTCAGAATCTTTCCCCACACAGCAGCCCAAACAAAGAAAGTCACCCTAGTTGGAGCCACAGACCGCCAAATAGTTTTCCACGGGAAGTCTCGATTAACAAAATTTGACAAACATAAGAACAAAGATCTAACTTCGAAACGACCATGAGAAGAGGGAACCCAACTTAAAACATCATTACCTCTGCCAACGCCCTCCTCTCGATACAGAAGATCCAAAAAAACACATACCTCGTCCATCTCCCAATCCTGAAAAGAGCGCCGAAAATGCACATCCCATATAATCCCGCTGCTATCAAGCCGATAGCAGTCGACTATGTAGGCGTGTTTATTAACGGCAATACTATATAATCTTGGAAAAGTACGAGAAAGTGACTGATCCCCACACCAGAGATCCTCCCAAAACCGAACGCAACGTCCGTCATGCAGTTTGAATCTGATATGAGCCGAAAAAACATCCCATCCTTTCCGAATAGCCTTCCACATCCCTACTCCTCCCGCTAGGGTAACCGGACGCGTAAACCAACCTCCAGCCTCTTCGCCAAACCGACAAGAGACTAGCCTGCGCCATGGTCGATGTCTTTCCCTCCCAAATCTCCATAACCACTTACCCAAGAGAGCTTGATTGAAAGGAACTAAACGTCTTATACCAAGTCCACCCAATTTCACAGGCTTACAAACATCCTCCCATTTGACAAGGTAGTACTTGAACTCATCGCCCTTACCACCCCAAAGGAAATCCCTTTGAATTTTTTCAATCCTGTCTGCAATGGAACAAGGGATTTGGAACATAGAGAGAAAATAAGTGGGAAGGCTCGACAAGGTGCTCTTTATAAGAGTAACTTTACCCCCTTTTGACAAGTATTGCTTCTTCCAACCTGCTAATCTCTTCGCGTACCTGTCAATCACAGAATCCCAACTCCCCACTAAGCTAGAAGAGACCCCTAGGGGCAAATTCAAATAAGGAATAGGGAATGAGCCACTTTGCATTCAAGGACTGCAGCTAAAGAGGAAATATCAGGAACATTCCCTACTGGGACAAGCACACTCTTTGTCACATTGACCTTTAGCCCGGAAACTGCCTGAAAACAAGTCAGAACACACCTCAAGTGTCGAAGTTGAGACACATCAGCATCACAGAAAACCAGGGTGTCATCCGCAAAAAGTAAATGGGAAATCTCCATCTGATGGTCTAAATCTCTACCCACTCTGAAACCCTTAACAAAACCAAGGTCCTCTGCCCTATGCATCAATCTACTTAACCCCTCCATAACAACAAGAAAAAGGAAAGATGACAAAGGATCACCTTGTCTTATACCTCTAAAGCAACCAAAGAAACCGACGGGAGAGCCATTCACAAGAACTGAAAACTTGACAGACGAAAGACAGGTCTCAATCCATTTCCTCCATTTACTTCCAAACCCCATTCTTTGTAACAAATAGAGTAGGAAATTCCAATTCACATGATCATATGCTTTCTCAATGTCAAGTTTGCATAGAACTCCAGGAATACCACTCCGCATTCTGGAATCCACACATTCACCAGCAATAAGAACTGAATCAAGAATTTGTCGTCCGCCAACGAAAGCGTTCTGGGAATCCGAAATAATTCCATCCATAACTTCCTTCATCCTTAAAGTGAGCACCTTAGCAATGAGTTTGTAAATGCAGCCCACCAAACTAATAGGACGAAAATCCTTTATATCTGAAGCACCTCCCTTTTTTGGAATATGGGCAATGAAAGAAGCATTAAGCGATTTCTCAAAGACGCCAAAAGAATGAAACTCCTGAAAAGTACCCATTACCTCATTTCTTACAACCGCCCAACTTTCCATCAGAAATCGCATAGTGAAGCCATCAGGTCCCGGAGCTTTGTCCCCATTACAGCTTGAGAGAGCTTTAAGACCTTCTTCTTCAGTGAAAGGATTCTCAATCCTATCTCTATCAAGCTCAGAAATAGCCTCAAAATGGAGACCATCAAGTTTGGGCCTCCAATCTAAAGGCTCTGTGTAAAGCTTCTAATAAAAGGAAGCAATACCGTTACGCACCTCTTCCTCTCTCCACAACTCCTCACCATCCACCCGAATTCTTCCAATATGATTACTCCTCCTATGAGCGTTAGCTAACCGATGGAAGAATTTTGTGTTCCGATCACCTTCCTTTAACCAAAGAGCCCGGGATTTTTGTCGCCACGAGATCTCCTCCATACTAGCAATCTCAGCAAATACCGCCTGACAAGAGACTCTCCTGGAACGAAGAGATTCCATATCCCTTCCGGCCTCCTCAAGACGATCAATCTCTGAAAATTCAGCAAATACTCTATTCTTCCTCCATTCCAAATTCCCGAAGACATCCTTGTTCCACTGCTTAAGAGCTAATTTGAGAGCCCTTAACTTCTTTGCAATTGTGAAACTGGGCGAGCTTGAAGAAGTGACTCCTTCCCACCAAGAACTTACTTTTCCTTGGAAATCATCTGCACGCAACCACATATTCTCGAATCTAAACGGGGAAGTGACCCTTTCTAACACCGCTTGAACAACATCTGGGAACTTCTCTTCCCAATCCCCAGAAATTAAAAATTTGTCCAGCCTTGATAAAGTTACTGGATCCCTACCATTGGACCAGGTATAAGCTGCTCCTTCCATTGGTAAATCAACAAGAAGATGCTCATCAATAAAATCAGAAAATTGATCCATTTCCAGAGATCTTCTTCCCCCTGTAGACCTCTCTGACGGGGATCTAACAGCATTGAAATCCCCTCCCAGGCACCAAGGGAAAGACCATAGTCCTTGGACATGGCGAAGCTCCTCCCAAAAGATAGATCGAACATCATCAACAATTATTGTTGGATAACTTGAGGAAGCGAAGACATATTATTATTAATTGGTGTTGTCTTTGTAAGTTAAATGGGGACTCAGTGGATCACCTGTTGCTGCATTGTCCTGTGGCTCATCACTGTTGGAGTCTCATTTTTGATTTGTTTGGTATTCATTGGGTTATGCCTCGGACATCTCGGGAATTGCTGGATATTTGGAGGGGCCAATGGGTGGGGGCTCAGGCGAGAGTCTTCTGGAGTGTAACCCACTTTTGTGTTTGGTGGAGCATTTGGAAAGAGCGGAATAGAAGATCTTTTGATGGGAAGGAGTTCTCCATTGGGGTGTTGAAATTCTCTATTATTTGTACTCTTTTTTGTTGGGGTTGGGGGAGAGATTTTTCCTCCATTGAGGATATTGTGGACTTTTTGGGCTCCTTGAGATCATAGTTTCAGTTTTTTGTATAGCTTGGGACACATTCCCCTTTTGAACGCCTTTTAATACATTTTACTTATAAATAAAAAAAAAGTATAATATGACACTAGTTCAACTGATCTGCACCAAAACTTCAATGAAAAACCTCTAAATAACTCCCATAAACCTTAATTTCATTCTAAACCCTCCTATAAACATAAGTTACATAACCCTTATCCCTTAATATTGTTCCAGATCCTGCATCAGAAACACAAAAAATAAAAAATAAAAGAGAACTTACAAGTTTGTTGAACTTCTCAATTGTTGACAACGGTATGGTGCCAAGTGCAATGATATTCCTGGATCCCTCACTCTTGAAAAGGGAAGCAAAAAAATTATGAAAATATTGATGATTAAATATTGGTATACAAATAATAGATATAAATTTATCATTGAATCAACAAATGAACAAATTTCATTGATTCGAATTTGCAGAACCATATAGGCCAACATTACCATAAGAAACACAATTATAGGCTGAAGCAACACAATCATGCAAACAAAGACATGCGTATATGAATTTATGCAAGTGTGTGTGTGTATATATATACAAGGGGCTGCCGAGAAAGTACATAAATTATCAGATACAATACCGTACATGAAGCTGCCAATATGATTTTTAACAAAATATACCTCATGAACCCATGTCCTATTATCCATCTCAAGTAAAAATAAAAAAAAAAGTTATTAAAAGTATCCACACTACAGTAGTATTATTTTGGAAATGCCCAGCAGACAATCACCAGAAACAAGCAACACTAAATGGCCACTAGATTTTGAGCAAACAAACGCCACGGGCACCATATTAAACAAGTGATTCAAACAGGCCACATTCTAATAATAGATATGGTATGGTCCATTCACAAGAGAGTTGTTACAGGTACTGTGTTTCAATTGAAATAATCCGCCCTGAAAAATTGTTCATTATGCTAAAAAGTCATAAAACCTCAAGGAATCATCCCATTCATTGCCTTATGTCACCCTCCCATACATTCACATTTCACTCAAAACCATTTTTAAAGGCTTACACACAAAAAAGAGATAAAAACATTCCTGCAACGTGTAACTATGGCATTGGTTTTGTTAGGTATATGAGTCATGTGTTGGCAAATTCCTTCTTAAATCTTGTGTTGTAATGTGCCAAAGTGTCTTATCTTAAAGTGTCTTAAAGTGTGTGAGTACATCTGTTGAAGGCAAAGCAGAAACAGAATTGCAAAAAACATGGCATGAAATTCGCATCCTCAATCACACATCTAGGGCACAAGTAAATTGACCATAGAAGACCTTATTTGATCAAGAACCGACGAAGTAATTGTTGAACTAGATACTCGAATTAAAACTAGAAGACAATTACAAAGTCAAATAAATAATTTGTATTATCTTTCACAGGATTAACCTAAAAAAATATTGATGAAACCCTAACAAAAAGTGATTAGATAAATGCAGTGCAAGAAGAATTTCAACACTTTGTTGGGAATAGTGCTTGGACACTAGTTCCTAGACCTAAAAATACAAATGTTATTGGAAGTAAATGGATATTTAAAAGCAAGTTGGATGAGTACGGTGTAATAGCTAGGAATTAAGCTAGACTAGTTTCACAGGGATAAACATAAATTAAAGGCATAGACTTTGATGAAACCTTTGCACCTTTTGCATGGTTAGAGTCAATTAGAATACTAATAGCCATATCTTGTCAATGGAAATTCAAACTATAGCAAATATATGTAAAAAATGCATTTCAAATGACATACCAAACGAAGAGGTTTGTGTAAAACAACCTAAAGGTTTCGCAGATCATGAACTGTATAGGCTTAAAAAGGCACCATACGGTTTGAAACAAACTCCTGGAGCTTGGAATAAAAAAATTTAACTATATATTTATTAGCACAAAAAATTTTAAAATATATGTAGATGATATGGTTTTGGTTCCACATCCGACAATAAAGCTCATAAATTTGCATAAAAAATGATATAAAAAACTTTGAGATGAGCATGGTCGGTGACTTAACCTTCTTCTTAAGATTACAAATCAAACAATTAGATGATGGAATTTTTATCTCACAATCTAAGTACGCTAGAGAACTAATGAAGAAGTTTGGGTTACAATCAGCCATAAGTGAGTACTCCTATGAGAGTGAGTACTAAGTTAAATAAAGATCCTATTGGAGAAAGTGTCAATGTTTTTTTATAAAGAAGTATGATAGGTAGCTTACTTTTTACAATATTGTTATGAGTCAGAGGCAATCTAGTTAAATGATGAAAAACAGTGATGAGTTTGTGAAATAAACTTCATGATCAACAGAACACTTCTTGCAGTTGCTAAAAGTTTTATGCCTCCACAAAATCTAATACTTTAGATGGTGCTACTTTGCCTCTGTGTCCTCAATTTCAAACACCACTGCTCCCATTCCCAAATTCCAACTTAAGTTGATACTCAAGGCATCTATCCACTCAATTTCTATAACTTCCTTTAAATGATATGACAGCCATCTTGTGCACACTTTGAATCCTCGTGGATCCAGAGTTTGGATGAGTCTTTATCTGGCCATTTCTCTAAACCCTTGTACCTCAACATTTAAGGAACTCTTCCATGAGTTACATTACCAAAAACAATACTACTGTTCCATTTGATAATCTGTCCAGTTATGTGCAACATCGTCAATACAAAAACATTGATTGGAAATTACCCCAGAATTGGACTTCATTACATGGGTCGTTGTAAAATCCATTATCTGCCCTCTGCTTCAGCCTGTATAGAACTGCCTACATCCTTTTCCTTATTTATGACACCATATACATCAACTTCCTAGTTCCATGTAATATATTTAGAATGTAGTGATACAATTAGTAATGCACTTGCTCTGTTAGATCTCCTTGTGCATAACCAAAGTTACAAAATGAGAAGCTTTCCCATCCGAAGTAGCACCTCTCATTCTCTGTCAACTTTCAAACAAGTGCATTCATATGCAAACGGTTCTATTTGTACTAGGGGTAGTCAGTGGTTTCAGATTCTACGTTATATTTCATTTGATGATGATTTCTGCCTATATACATGGCTATATTTCTTCCACATTACATCTCAATTTTCCAAGTTCATAAAGAAGTGAACAACACTACCCAATTTCGTTCATAAAAGCTTCTCCTCTGATTCTGTTGAGGTGGCTCAAATTCTTTGGGTCCATACCGATGTGTGTGGGTGAATGGTGCAGAGAAAAAGGCATGTATTGGTGATGACGTGCTCGTGTTGCAAGTTGGCCTAGGCAACTGTTCAAAGAGAAGAAATGAATGTGCAAGCGATCTCTCTGTGTGTGTGGCGGTGGTCAGTGTGTAAAAGAAAGAAGTAAAATATTGTGTGTGCATTTAATGAAGAGTGACAGTGCATTGTGCATGAATAAAGAACAGTACAAGAGAAGTAATTCCTAAGACGGTTATAACTTGCCTATAAATATAGGCATGACAAGCAATGTATGATGTGAAGAGAGGAGTGAAAAATAAGGTGAGTGAAGTATAGGGAAAAAAGAGAGAAAAATATAGTGAAGTTATTGAGAGTCAAGAGTGAGCGTATTCCTTTTGAAGGAAGTGTGTCTTCTCCTAGTGAGTGAGTGTGGAATACCTCTCAGTAATCTGTTGAAGAGTAGTAATCTTCTCTTTCCTTGAATAAAAATTAGTGTGTAATTTCCATCTTATTTTTCTGTTGTTGCAATTGCATAGTTATATTTGTAGAGTGAAATCTTGGGCGGATTAATTCCTAACAAGTGGTATCAAAGCTGATATAAAGGGATTAATTCCTAACAAGTGGTACACTGATTCTGGTTGAGTAATTTTGCATTGAATGACCTTTTTTTGATAAGTAATTTCATACCAAATGTCTCAACACTCAATGTGTAGAATAATGTTGCTGAACCTATACTTAAAGAGCTGAGGCTGCTTGTGTCACTTTTTTGCTCAGCCTTCACCTTGTGGTGAAACCCCGTGCAAGATGAGGCAAGTCTCAACACAGAACCATGAGTGCCTCTTAACCACAGTCAACACATTATAAAAGCTAGACTTGGCATATTATTTTGGCATTTACTGGAAGAAATCTAGCCAATACACTTAACTGCTGGCATAAATCAATTATAGAGAAAAATAAATAAATATGGAAAATCAGCAATTTAACCGACCAAATTCCTTTTAGATGTACAATATGGATACTTAAGCTTCCTACACGTATCTGAATTCTAATCCAATCCTAAGCTTCTTTCATTTCTGGTTCAACAAAATGTTCATAAAGTTGCAGGATTTTCATTGCTTCCACTGTTCCAGTTAAAGAGAATTTAGTAGGGTGTGCACTAGCAAAAATGCAATCAAAGTTAGGGTCATCCATTGAAGCTTTGTGAATTCTATGCATGCTAGTATTGCTTAAATGTCAAGAAATTGAACGGAAGACATGGGAAATGTTATATGCATCACTTACCAGAAAAAGAAGACGAAAATTGGTGACAAACAAAGTACCGGCCTCATCAATATTAACAAGAACAACACCGCAACCCTAGAAGCAAACCCAACAAGTTCATCAGTCTGCTAATATAGCCAATAGCCAAACAATGAAAATTGAAGGAATAAAAGAACAGTATTAACAAGAACAACACCGTAACCCTGGAAGCAACTAAACAAGTTCATCAATCTGCTAATATAGCCAATAGCCAGACAATAAAAATTGAAGGAATAAAAGAACAGTATAAATGCCTTTTATTTTTTGGTTGATAAATACTGTATAAATGCTATATAAATAATTTAGCTGTATATTATAATTGATGAGGGTAAAACAGACACTTGGAAAGAGGCAACCATTGTGAAAACATGAAAAGGTAAAGTCAGCCAGCTTCATCTTGTCTTTACTTTTTTATTATCCTAACCCTGATTTTCAGCAATTCCATTTCATTATCATGTCCTTTCTACATTCCAGTGGTCTCTTTTTTCCTTTTTTTTTGATAAGTAATAATTGAATAAAAGGAACGCGTCCCTTATACAAAAGTGGCACCTGGATCTAAGGACCCAAAGAATCCAAAATACATTCCAGTGGTCTTTATTTCCAGATGTAATCAATAGCTTAGTGTGGATCCTTCATTTTGTGTTTCTTGAATCCTTATACGGGAAAGGAACTTCCAGTGGTTTATGATGAGGGTATTTGATTTCTGATTGAATATTGCAATTACATTTATAGTTTATTCCTTGCTGAATTATGATCCGGTCCTTTAGTGCAATAGAATTTCTTTCCCAAGTCAAATTTGTACGCCATCATAATTGAGGCAATTGCAACAAGATGGAAAGGGGATTCCCTTACTCTTGAACACCACCTAATCATCTAGCCCAGTTCAGCAGCATGTTAAAAAAAATTACACTGAATACAGTAACATTAGTAAACATTCTGCCACACCCTCCCATTTATATTAATTAAATCGACAAACATGTGTCCGAACTGTCATATGCCTTTCAGGAATATCTAAACCCTCATTTAGATCCCATTTTGCATCAAGATGCTAACCCTCTGGAAGGGAGAGGGAAAAAAAAAAAAAAAACAAAAAAAGGTGCCTTCTCAGTTATCACTCAGTTTCATCAAACTTACAATTCTAACTTCACTTTACCATGCAAATTTCATTCCACTTAATCTTCTGTTAAGTTGACTAAGACAAACAAAGACAACATATAGTTTGAGCCACAACAACTTCAGAATTCATCAATTGTTAGTAACAGAAATAATTTTCAGGAAAAAAAATCCAATTTACCCGTAATGTTGGGAATATTCATTAATTTTTAAGAAATTTTGACAAAATTCAAGAAATTCCCTATACAAATCAAGATATATGTAATATATCAAGAATAATTAAAAAAATAAGTAATAAATCAGCAGGTAATTCAACAATTTGGTTCGATATAATTCCAGCATGATTTTCTTATAACTGCAATTATTTTGAATTTCACAACTTGCTCTATTCAAAACTTAATGAAAGACTTCGAAATACAGATACAAATAATTTTTTTGCACCAACCCTATAATTACATCCATGTAGCGCACAATTGTCATCAATGTCCAAGAAGATTTGAATAACAATAGCATTCTTGAAGGAGATTAATATACACTAACCTCTACTATGACCTTTTCGGCTTCAAGCAAAAATTCCAATACCCCTTGCGGAACAGACCTCGAAACAGGCTGCCAATTGCAGAAAATAGAATCAGTTAACTACAAATTCAAATATGGATGTATAAAAACGTATACATATATACACACATAATATAAACGTATTTGCATATAGTTGTATGTGTGCGAGAATTCAATAGCGAGCCCTAGAATTAAATGGTATAAAATACCTCAATCTTGGTCCATTCAAGGGCGTCCCAACTTCCCGCGCCCTCCAACTTCTCCAACTCAGTGAGTCGAGATTCCGAGTCACGGAGAGAAGTGGCTGGTCCCGAGCGCGTTCTGGGTGTGGCCATGCGGCGACTCGAGCTTGTGCAGAGGGAGAGTTGTGGAGAGAGAAAGTGTCGTGTAGAGAGAGATAACGAATGTGACTGGGGGAATTTTCTCACCTGACGTTCAAAGAGAGAGAGAGAGAGAGAGAGAGAGAGGTGTTTTTTAACCATCGGAACTCCGGGCTTCGGTTTTGGAATTGGGTCAGTAGTCGGTACAGCGTGAACTTGCCACGTCAACCACGGAGATGCGACCCATGTCACGTGGAGAGTCCCAAATTTTTAAGCAATAATGGTAGATTTTATTTTTTATTTACAAGTAAAAAGAGTAAAAAGTTAAATTATAAAGGGGTTGAAGTCTGACACTTCGAAAATTCATCGAAGGTATTAATTACTGGACTATCGAGGTATCTACATAGGGATGTCAATTTAGATTTCTTTTTTCTTTAATTTTTATGATATATTTAAATTTTAACTGAATTTTTTTTATTATACTCCATTATTGTTAAATATTTGACCATATTAAAAAATTTGTTTTAAATTTTAAATATGTATATCGGAGCGTTTCGAATCCACCCACCTCTGATGTAGGGTTGTTAAATCGAGTTTAAAAATATATTTTCATTGTTGAGACAGGTTTTAAAAATAAGTATCTGGTCCGACTAATAATGGAGTCAAAATTTTCTTTTTCGAGAAGTGTCATTTGATGATTGATAAAATTAAAATCACAAACGTGCTATATCACTTTATGTAAGAAATTACACTAAATTTTGTTATTTTTGAGAATGGTATTATATTTGGATTATATATTTAAATTTTACAATTTTATAAAACTGAAATGGACGTGAAGTTTTAATATACGAGAGGTTGAAAGAGAGTGCTAAAAAATTAAGGAAAATATTATCATTGTCATATGTTTATTACAAAATAATAAAAATAATCAGTAATTTCATCTCAAACATTACATTAACATTAAAAAGCCATTATTTTAAAATTTTATCAATCAAATAATTTAATATGGACACAGTGCTTTTTACTTGAAAATGAAAATGGCACAATTACCTTGTAAACAGTAAGGATGTGTTTTTTTTCCAAAATTATGGGAAGGATGTGTTTGCTGTAAGAGGTGGGAATAGAAAAGAAATAATAATATTAGTTTCGAGAAGAAAAAAAATCAAAATGGGGATAATCATGTTTGGTTGATTAATTATTGAAAAAAAAAAGGTAAAAAAATATCGGTTGTAGCACTTAATCACGTTTGGAGAAATAAATGAAATGAAACAAATTTAATGAATCTCTCCTGTTTTCTCCAGACTAAATCTAACGGTTGATATTAAGACACGTGTTCACTTACCTATACTACACCGTTTTGGCACCAAACGGAAGTTTTGTGCTTCTTTTCTCTCTCCTCCTCCTCTTACTTTCTCTATCTACACCCCCACCAACGAACGCCGGTCGTCTTCTCCGTCGCAGGCGGTAGTGACTCCTTCTCCGACTCCGTCTCCCGTGGATATATATAGTTAATAGCCAATATTTAGGGGGAGAGCCCATTTTTTGCAGTGAAAAAATGGCATTCATAATTTCACAGTATTGTGTGGAATCAATTTTATGGGAGAGAGGAACCGTGAAAATACCAATTTCCAACTCCATTGTTATGTGATCTTTTGATTTGAGAAAATAGCAATTTCAGGACGGCAAGTTTAGGTGTTCTTTTGTCCTTTTCTTCTGTTCATGTTCATGTTGCCTCATATATGAATATATATTAATTTCTTCTTCTTCTTAGTTTTTTTTTTTTTTTTTTGGGAGATTATTTTTATATCAAATGAGAGTTATCAGAGACTTTTATGAACACGATGAACACGAGTAATAGGAAACTCTTGCCTTTATAGTCTTAAAACTCAATTTGTTGATTTTCTTTTTTTTTTTTTTTTTAAAAAAAAATTGTTGAGTTCTATCCTCAAATTAGTGAAGTCCTCTTATTCTTTTCTTCTTCTTTTTAATTTCCCCATTTTATCTATGTTTAAAACTTAAGTCAATATTTCCTCCATTCAGTGTAAATTTTCGGACAGTGGTGGAGTATTTTTTTTTTTTTTTTTTGGGGGGGGTACGGGGGGGCTTAAAATCTTCAGATCAAACATCACAAAGCAATTAGAAAGGAGGTTGGGGCAGTCACCGCGGGAGACGGAGTCGGAGAAGGAGACGTTACAGCCTACGGCGGAGAAGACGACAGAAAGTTCGTTGGTGGGGTGTAGAGAGAGAAAGAAAGAGGAAGAGGAGGAGAGAGAAAAGAAGCACAAAACTGAAAACTCTGTTTAGTCCGTTTGGTGTCAAAACGGTGTAATATAGGTAAGTGAACACGTGTCTTAATATCAACCGTTAGATTTAGTCTGGAGAGAGCAGGAGAAAGATGGTTTATGGAGAGGATCCGTGTCCCTAAATAAAATGAAACTAGTTTAATGAATTTATCACTACGCCCTTTCACATTTAATAAGTGATTTGACAAAATTTAAAGATTATACCAAACATCAAAGCAAAGTCACTATTTGAAATACCAAGAAAGGATTAAAGAAAATAAAAACATGCCCTAATACTCATGTTATATTTTGATTTTATCATTAATAAAATAAAAACAAAATTGGTATCAGAAAGTGTAATACCCCTAATTTAAAAGGAAAGGTTTGGAATTTATTTTATTGTTTACATTATATTTTTATTTATTTAACTATGAATTGATTTGTTTTAATTGAAAATTTGTTTATATTTCAATGTGAGTTTATTTTGTTTTATGTGTATGTCTTATTTTAATTTAATTGTTCATTGCTGTGATTTAATTGCATTTAGTTATTTAATAGATTTAATTGTAGTTTTCCTTTAAGTGGGTTAAATTAGTTATTTTAATTAGGATTAAATGCTTTAATTGATTTAATTTAACTATTTAGGTGATTTAATCTAATTTAATATAATGGTTAATTATTTGAATTTAAGTGTTAATTATTTTCATTTAATTGTTGTTTTAATTAGGGTTGTGTTTAAAAAAAAAAGTCATGTTATAGCCGTCGTAGGAATCTAAGTAAGTTGGATGGGCCGGTTAGGATTACAGTTAGGTCTTGCATTAAGCTAGGGTTTAGTAAAATCTTATAAATATATGTGAGATGTTTGGTTAGGGTTTTAGAAAAAATAACAAAACCAAGTATACGTCTGTGGAGGCAGAGGAGGAACAGAAGAACTTTTGCAGTAAGAATCGCCGAAAAGCTTAGAAGAAGACGTAGAGATTTTTAAACAAAGGTCTCAAAGGCAAGTTTTGTCCTTACTCTCTCCTTTAAGCTTTGTGTTCTTTGCATACTCGATAGTTCCAGGATAAATTACATGTTTTAAAAAGGAAAACGTTATCTGTTTCATGGTTCAACTTTTAACTGTGACAATATGTGGTTTATATCTGTTATATCGTATAAACTTGTTGCTTGCATTGTTCTTGGTTTAAATCCATCTTAGTATTGTATTAAGGACTTAAGCAAGGGTTGGTAGTATACTGGTACTCAGTTACCAGTTCTAGAAACCAAAATACTGAAGTGCCGAAGGTGTAAACGATGCTAGAATGCGAGAACAGAGAGAAGAAGAGGGAGAGAGCCGGCTCTCCCTTGGAGGGAGCCGGCTCTCCTTGTAAAGGAGGCGGCTCCAAGGAATTAGGAGCCGGCTCCAAGGCCAATGGAGGCTGCTCCATGGTTTTTGGAGCCTGCTCCATTTTGGTTTTTCCCAGTTTTTACGTTATATTGATTTTTCTTTTGGTTTTCAGTGAGACAGGTTCTTGGGTATGGAAATTTCTAAGTTTATAATAGGAAGTGATGGATGGTTTAACAGGGGTCTGATGTGGAATTAAAGTTAGAAAGGTGTTGAGTCTGCTCCATCTTTACCTCTTCCAGTTTTCACGTTTTACTTCTTTTCTTTTCAGTTTGCAGTAAGGAAAGTTTTCTGTGGTTTTTTTCTGAGAAGAATAGATGTTGTAATGGATGTTTAGAGACTGTTCAGAGGAAGATTTAAGTCTAAAGGGATAGTGAACATAGAGTTAGACACCGAGTTTTAATTGTTGAAACTATATGAAAATTGTAAGTGCTTGGCAGACTTATTTGGTTTTGGATATATTGCTTAATCATAATAAAAATTTCTGTGAGAGCTTGTCCATTGCTAATTATGTATTCGTGGAATGGAACACATGCTAGAAATCTATAGTTTGCTAAAGATTAATTGATGGTCAAATTGTAAAAGCTAATGCAACAATTTGTTGAACAGGAGATTAAAGGTATGATAAATTGCCTAAATTTATTATACAGGTTAAGGAATTAAGTAAGCTTGTATTTGTTTAGGCTCTGTTAATTATGAATACTGGGAAATAAACATATATTTACAAACATAGCTTCACGGGGTCAAGTATTGGTTCCTGTGATGTGTTTCTATGAGATGGATTCTATGTAACAGGTTATATCAGCATGTTAAGATTGTATTTATTATGTTATCATGCTTATCCTGGAATGGTTGGAATTAATATTTATATTGTCAATGCTCCCTCAACTACTGGATTTATTTAAGCATATGTGATAATGTATTCTAAAATGCTTAGTAGGGAATTGTTGATATTGTTATTTAATCGTTAATACCTTATCAACTGTTGGATGGATGAAATTGTATGCACCGGTATGGGACGGTGTCATACTAGGTTTGGATTAGCTCAAATTGCTAAGTCCTACCTATTTTGGAGTAAGGGCACGGGTTATAAAATACAATCCTCCTTATATGTATAAGTCGGTACGGTTGAATACGCCGAGTGACTTACTGGATTTCTTGTGGATGGTTAGAAACGGAGTTTAGATATATTTTTATGTTACCGTGTCATGAGCTTGAGTCTCAGTGTCGACGGTTAGAGTGCATATATGCAGTTGGATGTGTAGCTGACTGTGAAGGTTGAGGTATACCCTGTTTAGGTTTAGGTACTCATGTCCACTCAGGTGCGTATTGTGTGATGCCTTCTATCCAGGTTGAGACCCCCTTCATAGCCTAGCGAGAGTCCAGTAGTTTGGATATATTTATGTACGGATTATTAGTTATTGTTGAACTATTTAGTATGTACATGCGTATCGAGTCTCTGCT